CCAAGGCTAGCACTTTATTGAGATACTTTCAAATTTCATCTTGTTGAGCTTTGAACTTTTCATTTATCTAATGACCACTAATTAGGAGTTGCTATATGCGATTATGCGTTAGACATTTAGCTCGATTGCTAACTTTAGATCAGCTATCAATGCCTTATATTTTACCTCATTGTTAGATGCCCTAAACTTGAATCTTAAGGCTTATGGATACTATAGCCTTTCTAGGTTGATCAAAATGAGGTCGTCTCTTTTGTTGTGGCTTATGGTCGATCAGTCAACATAGAGCTTTCAATCATCTTTATTTATGATTTTCTCTTTTTCTTCTGGTTATCTTTTCAGATGTATCAAGGTAAGCTCTATAAAAAAGTCTACTAGTATTTATGATTTTGAGGCCAATCTAGGTAAATATGTATAGTTTGAATTCGCTGAACTCTATCATCCATTTGATTAATCTTCTCGACATTTCAAGCTTCTATAAAACCTATCTTAATGACTTGTTGGTTAGTACATGAATTGTGTAGGCTTAAAACTATGACTTGAGTTTTCTGATTGAGGTTAATCTCTAGCCCTATTAATACTTTGCTTACAAAATAGACTAGTCTCTATTTCCTTTTCTCTTCTCGAATTAGGATTAAACTGATGACCTAATATGTGTTGGCTATGTATAAGTATAAATTTTGTCAAACCTCGATTTAGATAGAATATGTAGTAAGGATAAGGACTCTTTGAGTTCTTCAAAAGCTTTTTAACATTAAAAAGTCCACCTGAAGTCAGAAACATTCTTGAAGATCTTAAAGAATAGTAAACATCATTTTATCGACCTAGACATAAATTGGTTGAGTGCCGCTATTCTGCCAATTAACTTTTATACTTCTTTTACTGAGGTCAACGCCTTCATATTTAGGATTACCTGAACCTTTTTTGAGTTTGCCTGTATCCCATTTTGGTTGATCATGTAACCAAAAAACTTACCTAATGTAACCCTAAAAGCGTATTTGTTCGGGTTAAGTTTCATATTATACTTTCTTAAAATGTTAAAAGTCTTTTTGAGGTTTTCCAGATGCTTGGTCAAACTCTTACTTTTAACTATCATGTCATCCATATATACCTCTATGTTACGATCAATCTAGTTTTTAAACACCACGTTTACCAATATTTGGTAGGTTGCTCCTACGTTTTTCAATCCAAATGGCATAACTTTATAATAGTAAAGACATTTTTCAGTGATAAAAGATATCTTTTCCTTGTCATTCTTTATCATTTTGATCTAATTGTAACTAAAATAGGCATCCATAAAGTTGAAAAGGCCATATTTGACACTGTCATCCACTAGCCGATTAATGCTAGGGAAAAGAAAGCTATCATTCAGGTAAGTTTTATTTAGATCAATAAAGTCGATGTGTATTATCTATTTTTTGCTATACTTTTTAACCATGACCACAATGGCTATCCATTCAAGGTAGTAAACCTCCTTGATAAAGTCAGCTTATAATAATTTGTCAATTTTTTTTCAATGGCCTATTGTCTTTCAGACGTAAAAGTTTTTTTTTTATCGAATTGATTTTACCTTGGGATTAGTGTATAGCCTATAAACCATCACTTTAGTATCAATTATGGGCATATCAAATAGTGTCCAAGTGAACAAGTTAGCATTATCTTTTAGAAGTTGAATCAGTTGATCTTTATGTTGAAGCTTAGTCCAATCTGCATATATTTTTGATTTATTCTAAAATTAAATTATCATGAGGTCTTCAGCTAACTTAAGTCGATTTACATCCGAGTTTGATCTTTAATCAATTATCGCTATTTGTTTAATTAGGTCAAAATCATTTCTTATAAAAACAAATCCCAACGTGATGATTAGTACATTGATGAAGAACTTGTCAAACATATTAGTAAAATTGGTGCATATTTTTCAATTCATGTTATGTTTTAGCCGGTATATTAGCTTGGTCTAAATGACATATGGTTATTCATGCTGATTTAAAAGCTCGATCATCTTTGGTATTGCTTTAAAAAATTCAAAAATAAAGTAAAAGTCTTCTTTTGTTATAGTTTGAAAGCTCAAAGCAGTTTAAGAGCACGCATCTGTCAGGTCGATCTTACATTCTATGCTCTCATTAATGACTTCTTGCTTCTTGTCAATTTTTAGTGGTTATCCTTCTTTGCTTTTAACCTTGATTTTCGTCAAGTTGCTCATCTATTTTTCAATCCCATCCCTTATTGTTATGACATAACACTATTGTGTCGTAGATTGGTCACCCCGAACCTTTTTGACCCCATCGAATATTAGGAATTTCACTTTCTAATGAGGAGCTGAACTTATGAGCTACATAACATACTGGTTAGGTCAACCCAATATCATGTTATAAGCTAATGGGACATCCACAACCATGAATTATATGATCAAGGTAATCGTCCTTAGTTCAATCCCTAAGAAGATCAAAAGCTTAATAGTTCCTTTTACTGGCACCTACTCATTCTTAAACCTTACTAATGTGATGGTGATCGGCTTCAACTAATCTTCACCAATCCTTATTTTCTTCATACAATCGTAGCACATGACGTCAATTGAACTCCCATTATCAAATAATTTTTTTTATTACATAGTTGTATACTAAAGCTATAACCACTATAGCATCATCATGTGGATGTTGAATTCCTTCAAGATCTTTCGAGCTAAATAAGATTGGCTTGTCTCTCAAGTTTTTTTTTGCTTTGTCGAGGTATCTACCATCATAACCATGCCTAAGTTAAACTTTTTTTTCACCAAAGTGGAGCTACCCTTAGCATCACGTTAATCACCCTGGCAATTGACCTATTATTATCAGTTCAGCCTTCTTTTTGAATCGGTTCATCTCCTCAGGCTTTTTTTCTTTCGTGTTTTACTTTTTCGTCTTTACCCTGAATAAATGCTCTTTGATCTTGCTGTAGTCTATTCTAGGTTGGTCTTGTCTTCTCTGTCCTACAATTCTCTTCAATTGGCCTCATTTTATTAAAGCTTTGATCTTATTTTTTAGGTCAACGTAATTTCAATGTTATGGCCTATCTTTCTGTGAAAGGCATATTATTTGGTCAGATCCCTCTTTGTGTTTTGTTTCAGTGGCTTAAGCCATCTGAGGTCAGAGTTTCTTTCAATTTACACCAGAATCCTCTCTCAAGAAGTATTCAGTGTAGTGTAACTTCTTTCCCTGTTGGGGCTTCTAGCCTTGTGTTATTTTTCTCTTAGGAAAGGATCATAGAAATCCTTGCCTTTCTTACAATCAAAGAAGAAAATGAGCCTTTTTCATCTCGATCGCTGAGGAGAGAGGATGAATTTTTCTCACACCAGTTAGTTTTCAATGTAGCTTAAGTATTTATGTACTTTTTAGCTATCAATAGTACATCGATCAGAGTTTCAAGTAATTTTAGAGATAGGGTTAACTTCAAGTAATACTCTTTATCACTAAGTCCACTCGTTAGGACGGCCACAATGGTCATCTATTTTAGGTCTTTAACCTATAAGGCTTCACATTAAAATGCATGACATAACTATTTAAAGATTCATTCCAACCTTGATGAATTGACATCAAACTTAAGGTCATCATTTTTATTCTTCGACTGTTGACAAATTTGGACAGAAAAGAATGGCTAAGCTTTTTGAAGGTTGTGATAGACCTCAGTTCTAAGTTGATATACCAGGATCGAGCTACGTCTTTTAGAGTCATGGTTGAGCTCTTTAAAGGTCATGATAGACCTCAGTTCTAAGCTGTTATATCAGGATTGAGCTGTGCCTTTTAGGATAGTGGTTAGGCCTTTGCACATTAGAGCCTCGTCTATCTCCTACATCATCATGTTTGTCCTATAAAGTTTCAAATGATCGAAAGGATCAAAAGTACCGCCATATGCTTCCAAGGTTGGCATTTTAAATCCCTTGAGAGGGATGGCTCTATCAAACTCTTTAGTGAAGAACGAGTCTCTAGAAACTTGAGCTCATCCTCAAACTTCATTGCTTTTATTTTTAGATCTTTTTTCATGGCTTGCATCCAAGCTTCCAAATCTCCGTTCAGTTGGGATTTAGGGTTTGTTTGTTTGGATTTTTAGGTCATGGCCTATGTTGAATTGTGGCTGGAGTAATGGTAGGTCGGGGTTGTATGTTTCTCTTCTTTAGAGGCTGAAGAAGCCACCACCTCTTTGTAGCTTGATTGTCTAGCAACAGCTCCTCAGCTAGGTGTGATTAAGTCTGGCACTTTTGAAACTTAGGGTAGGATCATGATTTACAGCATCTACTTGAGAGCCTGTATATGTTCAATTAAGGCTTAAATTGTTCCATGGTTAGGCCCACCTGTGGTTGGGCTAGGTGGATGAAATGCTGACTATGGTGAGTTTCTGTTTCAGTCGAGATGGTTATCTCTCTTTTTTCTAAGATTTTTTTTCTTGGTGGCATTATTTTATGCTTGGCTAATAAACGAGTCGCCTACCCGGAGCACCAAATGTTGGTGTCGAGCTCCGACCTAGGGTTATTCTTATAAAGATAAAGGAGAAGAAAATGACAGTTAGAGGCAAAAGCAAGATGTATTCTTTGCGTTTGCACTCCGACGCACAAGTCAGAAAGGCTTAGATCGAAAACAAAGTAAGAAAAAAAGAAATGGGATAGAATTAACCTGCTTTAATAGTATCTGAACCTTTATATTTATAAATAAGTTATGAGAGACAATAAAGACTATCAAATTAATGTGGTACTGAATATGTTAGACATATCTGATATATCAGATCGATATAAATAACAAAATTATCTTTAATTATCTGTTAAAAACTTCAAAAAAAAAAAAAATAAATAATTATACTCTTTTGACCGCTAAATATCCTTTAACACATTCTGTATCGTATGCTTTCATCAGGCACACTCATTGCAAAAGAATCATAATCAATGCAAATTGGGAAAGAATTTCGTAACAGTCCCGAGCTAGTGGATTATGGATCCCACCAGCAATTTCATAAGCCAAAACTTTCAATAGCGTAGTTATAGGGTATGGCCACCCTATATTTTATGTGCAGAGACCCTCCTTGAGTCCTCTCGGGATAAAAAATCCATGACAAATTTATGGATTGCCTTTCACTGTTGACGGAAAAAAAAGGGTCCCAAACTTGCAAAACTCTATTCACAAAATATTTTAGCAAGTGGTATTCAGTAGGCATGCGTGAGGGTTAATGATTGGTGCTCCCTTATGATTGCTTGCTATGGCATTGGTTCTTTAACAGTCCAATGTGCTAAACCTGAGACTGTTAAGAGCAATTTTTCTTCAGCTTTTAAATGATCTGGTCAGGATTAAGAATCGGAAGGGAAAACCTCTTCAGCTTACTGCATGCACTCAAACCTTGAATCTTCCAATCTTTGATAATAGATTCGAATAGTGAGTCATTTGGGCTTGAACTTTGAAACATTCGGGCCTTAACTTCCAATGGGCGACGACTAAAGAGAGAATCGATTGGTTAGAATTTGGTATGGTCCTCGACTACAGGTTATGCCCTTTTTTTACCCCTTTTTTTCCCAGAGCACATATGCAATTTCCTGGCTGTGGAACGTAGGGAGAACATCCTAAAAGGTAAAAATAAATTTGATTGCAAGACCCTGGCTAAAGAGTAAATTTTAACTCATCGAGACATCATGAGAGAAATAAAAAGAAAATTTTCACTATAAGATAAGAGAACAGGGAAACAATGGAGGAAGAAAAAGTTAAGGAAAAAGTCCACTATCCCAAATCAGCACACTGTTTTCCTAAGTTAACCAGACAATAAATAAGTAGAATACAACCTCATGGCACAGGGCAGTAGCCAGTCAAGGTTTCGTCAGACCCATCAATGATACATATAATCATTCAATCGCAAGAACGCCTCGATTGGCCACTCTCAAACTCGCTACAAGACCCTGAAAAACCAGGAGGTGACAAGATTAGTAATTGTTTTGCCACAACTGTTGGGTCAGCTTTGATGGCTGGCCTTGAGACCCACTCAGGGATCCATCCATAGGGTTTTGCTGCTGATGTTCCAGCGATACTCCCGTTTGTGAATGGTAGAAATTTGGGTAACCAAGAGCCCCAAAATGCTGTGAAGGCTGTTGCCCTTGTCGAAATCCACCAGCCTGCTGGTTATGCCCCTGGAAGCTGTAATATGTGCTTGCAGGAACAGCAGACATTGTTCTTGAGCCAGGGCCGTGAATCCACATGGCAGAATTCTCATTCTAACCACATAAACAAAGAAAAGGTAGGGCCCATTTCAGATCCAAAGCAGCAGAAAATAATAAGAAATAAATTCATAAATACTGTAGAAATACATGAAATCATAAAACCTTGGGAAGAAAGGAAAAAAAAGGACAGACAATTTCATCATTAGTTCAGTACCATTCCATAAGAATAATGGCAAATTAGTCATATATTAATCAAAGCAAACTATTCAAAATCAAATGAGATCTCTCAATGCTTGGTACAGCAATTACCTGTTGAAGTGACATCAAGTGATTGCTGTCCTTGTACTGAGAACTCAGAACATCATCGTAGCCAATGGTTGTGCCCGCAGGAGCAGTAGGTGGATTCAGAGGAAGTCCTCCAGGAATGCTGGTAGCACTCCCAAACCCATAGCCAGATGGGATTGCAGTAGATTGAGGCAAGCTGCTAACAGAAACACTATTTTTGTATTGAGGGAGCACTGTTGCCAAGGACTGGGGGTAGTTACTATTACCAGCAAATGCTTGCTGGTAAGCTGATGGCATATACGTGTAACTCTGAGGTAAGAAAGGATAACTAATCATGTTGGCAAAATGTCCCAATGGGAGCGTAGGCTGGGAAAAAGGGTGCATGGCTAGATGCTGTGGAAGAGCAGGTCCCGTAGCAACACTGGCACCAGGCAGGGCCTGTTGAGTAGGCTGTGGAGCAGAAATACTAGCTGCTCTTAAAGCCTGCACACGTATTACAAGTTAATCAGGAAAGGAACAATGAAATCTTAGCAATTACATAATTTTTTTATTACGTTCCCAAAACGGCCTTTTCTTTTCCCTGTTCACCACCCCACCCAAAACTTCCTTGTTTTTGGTTAGTTGGGTGTCTTTGCTCCTTTTTCTGGCACTGACACGATCACATACATAAACACGCAACAATACTAAATGTACATCTATCCCGTAGAACGAGATGCATACTCGAGGACAACAATAGTGATGGCCAAGAAATACTCAAAAGGTTACTGTTCCATATTAAGAAACTAGAGTTTGAGGTCGTTTGCATTTCACCATACAGCATGTGCTTTTACAACCAAAACTCTATCTAGTCAAAAATATAACCATGACAGTGCATACTTAACAACACTACTACCAGGTAAGTTTCAGTTGAAATGCCACTAGATATGATATCATCTTTCATCTTAATTCAGTAAAATCTTGAACTAACACTACCAAAAGTTATAATGGCCAAGCTATTCCCATCACCTAGAGACAGAGTGAGCCATTCCGAATGAGTAGGCATCCCAGTATTGATTTTCCCTCAAGGGAGATGGAGAGATCAACTCAGATGCCAATTCACCAAAATGTTGAATAAACTAACAAAAGAAACTTTAAATCGCCTGTATATAGGACATTTATTTTATCGTTATATTTTCATCCTCTCTTAGCTGTCTCTTATTTCTCTCTTTCTAAACAAACCAAAATCAAATGTGCACAGTAACTTCTCCTTAGTTTTCTCCCTCCCTTTTATCTCTCTATTTAAATCATCCTTATACACTCAAGCACATGAGTATGCAGAGGCCTATTCTATAGCAGTTTTATAGAGGAAAAAAGAAATGGAATAATAGGTTTTTTTTTTATAATTAATAAATGGTCACCATTCCATTAGAAATGCAGAAAGTGCAAAAAACACCAAGAAATCAATAAGATAGAGCAAGGTGCACCTCTGGCATAGAAATGGTTGGACCACTAATGGACGAGGCTGCATTGCTGTATCTTGCTGGCATTGACTGAGTCACAGGGAAGGGTGAATATGGCAGATCTTGCTCCCTTGCAGTCTGAACAGTTGATGTCAGCAAAGTGCTTGGTAATGAATTTGTATATGCATGCTGTAAGAAAAAGCATTACGGTGAGAAGAGACATTCAAGAAAACTAACACCGTATTTCAAAGAACATGGCCAATCAATAATTTCACACAGTACAACAGGAGCTTTCTCTAAAATGAAGCCTAGATCAACAAAGTGTGGTTGCCTACCAAAAATTTAGATATAAAAGAAATTTTCTAATCCAACTCTAGAACATATGGTCTGAATCATTAGCTTGGGATAATAAGGTTCATGCATTCAAAACAAAATCGTACAGTTAAGTCACATTACCATTACACTTGAGAAAGGAGTGAGATTTTGCATTTGAGAGCTTGTCTGTGTATGAGTGAAAGCAGGATCAAACTGTTGAGAGTTTTCATAGCTATAACCAGACACAGATGAAGGAAACGTATATTGGCTCCCTTGGGCAGCTTCAGAAGCATCCTGTTTCAAAACCTCAGAACGAGAATCTTCAGAAGCCTCATAATTGCCAGTGCTAACATTACTTCCATTCATTACATTTTCCTCTGTGTTACTTCTGAGATGTTCATCCCCGTAATATTCAGGATTTCTGGAAGCAAAAAATTTTACCAAAATTGTAAGGAATGAATAAGTAAAGCAAGGAAAATTATGATCTTAAGAAGAGAATACCTATCGTCCGAGTGGCCAATAGATGAGGCATCTGCTGCTTCAGGGACCTCGTCCAAATTATTCTTTAAGGGCCTTGAAGCAAATGTCCCAGAAAAGGCAGAACTAATGCCAGGTCCAAAACTTCCAAAACTCAAATGTGAACAGTCTGGTGTGTGGACTTGTAGGTGATTTGGAATTATTACAGAGGGATTGTCCTCTTCAGGTGAGGGCTTCTGATCATCATCATGTAAATTAAGTTGCTGCAAATTAGAAACTGATGAAGAACCATCTTCAGCTGAAAATAGAAAGAAACAAGACAGAAAAGGTTAGTCCACAAAAACTTCGTAGCAGATAGCAATGAGCTAACATTAAATGATCAAACACTAACTCCATATCTAAATACAAACAATATTAAAGAAAAAGGAAAATAACTAAATCTATATTGTTTAGTGAATCACAGTATAAATTGAATTTTGGCAGGAAAAAAAACTCAAAAATGAGGGAGCCAAGGAAGGTCCAACAACCCTAATACATAGACATCCACAATGCAAGGCAATCAGAAATGGGTTGTCAAAGAAAATTGCAAAACTAGCAATCAGTGTATGCCTCCATCATTAATACATCATGAGTTATACATTCATTTAAAGCACTATCCTACCCTTCATCATGAATTGCACAAATTCAATTTAAAGCACTACACCAACCTTCATCATGCTCAATAGCATGCCTTTGAGGCTTATAAGAATTCACATCCTTATATAAGCCAGAATCATCCTCTTGTATTTTTCTACTTGAAGTAGGAGAACTAACAACGTTACCATTGACAATTTCAACAGGACCATCATCCACTGGCTGAGCTTCCTCTAGCTGGGATTTTATGTGGTGATTACTACTGTCCAAAGATATGTTAGAATCGTTTGCATACAGTCCAGAGTCTGCGGGTGCCTCTAAGAAAGTGGTCACACTGACAGCAGATGGGTTCTCAATGGGGGGCCATTCATCACTCGGAGAAACATGATTCTTCGTGGTGACATCAGGCTCATAAGTAACATCTGACACCCTTGAAGCATGATGCTGTGGTGAATGTAAATTGGGATGTAATGCTGCTGAAGGAGGTACCACAAGATGCTGATTATTAACACTTTGATGAGGTGGGTTTGGCATGTCAGAAGCCTTGTTTTGTGGCCTGCCCATCTTCACAATATCAGCCATTGATACTTGACCTGGAACCCCCAACCAAGCAGATTGGTATCCATAAGGCTGTGATGATGAAGAAACCCCATCACCTAAACCTACTGTGGACATTTTATTTTCTGTGACCGCAACTTCACTGCAAAACCAGTAAAACTCACATGAGAAAAAAGTAGGCAACACATAAAAACCATGTCAGAATTATAATGTTTATGAAACAGAAAAATAGAAATGCCATCCCTAGATAGAAACAAGGAAATTAAACTCAGCCAACTAAAAAGTTCTAAAACTTCTTTCACATGAAAAACAATTACACGTTTATTAAAAAGAAGTTGTAAACAAGTTCAGATGCCTTGTGTCCAAACTCCAGTTACCATGGTTTGGCAAGCATTTGGAACTATTAGGGTCCCATCTGTCCTTGCCAAACTAGCCATCTTTGATAATGATCAATTCAAACACTTAGTGAGGCTTAAAGGTGGAAATAAATTAATTTCATTAGGAATGAATTGGTATCAATAGATATCATTATTCTAATAGAAACCAATGACATGCAAGAAAAAGCAAAAAAATGAAGCAACACAACCCCTTCTGGTTATTATAACTCAAAACTTATAGCTGCTTTTCAGCTCCTTAACTGGAATAGACCGAGAGGAACAATCACTTTTGACATTCTAACAGGTATTACCTGTGGGATGGAGGTCTCCGCTTCATGGTATTTCCTTGCATACCAGATGCAGAAGATGAGGACTCTGCATGAGCATGAGTTCCATTTTCTCTCTTTGGTGCAGGTTTACCATGCGAAGGGCCAGACTCTAACCAGAAAAAAGAGTACTCAATGGGTAAGAAAACATCAAAAAGAGTTCCAAAACCTTTTTTCAACCAAGTACAAGCTGACTCTTGTCCAAAGTTGCATTAAAGCATGTCCATAGTCATACCATTAGAACTGTAATGGGATGAGCCACCACGCCCAATATATCGGTCTGAACCACTCCTACCACCACGACTCCCTAGGTTATTGGCACCACGAGACCTGGAATAGACTGTATCCTTGGTCTGGAGCAAAAGGGGAGAAATGAGTCAAAATAGATAACAAGAACCAACATATCCATCACAAATGATTAGAAAATATTTTAATAAGCTAACAAAAAGAAAGCTCATCATAAGTGAAAAGTGAATCAGATGAAAACACCCATTTGTAATGCTGAAAGTAACGAATAAACTGACATGACCCATGACCTATATGACAGCAATTATGCCTTTATTACTTAAGTGATGACAATAAGAGTAAAACAAAGATAGCAACCTCAACATTCACAAAAAAGAAAGCATTTGGCATAATTTCCACTAGCACGCACCTCTTTTTTCTTGTCTCGTTTGCTCTTCACCTCATGAAAAGGATCTACACATTTCACAAACATCTTATTAGAAATGAAATAGAGCACCATTACAAGAGCCGAAACTTCAGCAGCCCTACAGTTATGATTTCGCAAGCAATTGAGAGTTACAGAAGTCAGGGTTAATTGAGACTAAAGGCATTGATTATCTTCACCGAATAGACAAGTCTTTTGGCTTCTCCTTTTGAGTTTCAATGTAGACAAATAACAATCAGTGCATGGAACAGACAGAAAATCATACCAGCTCATCGCAGCAAATATTTAAATTTTATAACAATGTTGTTGCTTGAAATACGCACTGTAACAATAGCACTTCGAGTAAAGAAGTATCTGTGGACATTGTTAAATTAAAAGAGTGTGTATATTAAAAAAAAAAAAACCCCCAGAAACCAATCAGTTAAGCAGATTTTATCTTAATCTTGCTAAAACATCGAAACCCAGAAACCCAGCAGTTAGCCTTTTGCGTAATACAAATAAAAATTCTTTTTCTGAACCAAAAGAACCCATGAAATAAAAACATTAAACTGGGGAAAATAGTATTTAAAAATAAAAACAGAAAGAAGAAGAAAAGGCGGGGGGCGGGGACCTTGAGAGAGGAGGCGATTGACGGCCTCGTTAGGGTCCATGTTACACTCTTTAAGCATAGCATAGATCTCGGGTTCAGGGCAGTTCACAATCTCCTTCAAGCTCTGGACCATCTTTCGAGACCCAGCCGGAATACCTGAAATTCCACTATTACCCTTCCCTATCCCATTATTTCCACCTCCTCCTTTCCCGCTCATCCTCTCTCCGGGCAACCGTCTCGGAATAGTCTCGCTTCGCTCTCTGTCAGATCTGAGAAGAAACGATGTCGTTTAAGTTTTTAGCTTTTGGTCTTCTCTCTTCAATGTCTTTCGCTTCCCTCGGCGAAAATAAAAGACGGCAGGCGCAGCAAGCAGCAGCGAAGAGAAACAACGAAGGGTTATATTTCTTCAAACGACGCTTTAAAAGAAACAACCCCTTTTTTTTTTGGTCACCCAAAACCCTCTCGGGTGCTATGGCCGCGTGTGTAAACTCCTTTTTGTATTACAATTACTATTATTTAGAACGTTTTCCCCTCTTTTAAAGTAATTATTTACAAGACAGTTATAATTTGAGTGTTTATCGGACCAAAAAAATATTTAATATTACATTATTAGTCATTTAAATTTATTTTATTATATTAATAATATCTTTTGTGTATATATAATTATAATACAATATATATATATAATTAAAATTTGATTTCGTTTTGAATATTTATTATACCGTATTTTTTATTGTTGTGCATTAAATGGGTTCATAATAATTATTGGAATTTTCTTGTTCTATCATAAAATTAACAGATAAGGAAATAGCTTCACTAAAAAACATTAAAAAAAAAAATTTTATGTAATGATTTAAATGATTTATGTATATAGAATTTAGGTTACAAGAATAAAGGTAATAAGAATTTACATAAGTATTTAAGAAAACTTTTGAATATTTAAAAGTCTGAGTAATTTTTTTAAATATAAAAAACTGATTGATTTAATGGGCCACTGAGTGTGTCGTCACGTGGAATAGCCCACGTTAACTCACGAGTCCTAGTTGCCGAACTAACAACTAACCTCTCTTTATTTAAATACAAAGCCCATGGGCAGGCCCATCCATATGGGATTCTTTCACTCCTTACCCCAATTCTGATGAATGAGCTTCAATTTTAAGCCTTTTTAACTCTTTTTTTTCACAAATAGCTAAAATTATTATTAAAATAAAATAAAATAAAATGTTAATGATACATGCCTTATCATTGGAATAGTAATAACACTAGTGACATGGAAGTGGGTACATATGATCTCTTTCTTATAAGTTATAACGCAGGGTCAAGACTCAGGAAAGGGAAAGGATTGAAGCACCAACAGCAGAATATCAGGCATTGTTTAATCATCCAGGTTCATTCCTGACTGATGCTGCCGCCACAGTTAATGGGGCTCTCTCTTCTAGGTACTAGAAGTCTGGCTTCAGACATTTTCTAAGATTGAAAGATCAACTGGTTTTTCACAATGAGAGAAAAAAAAAATTTGTCAATGAACTGCATACATATTTAGACTCCGAATGCAGGTGAAATTAAACAAATGAAGACAGCCTCAATCAATTTAATGATAAATACCAAACTGTAGTGAAAAAATTACATGAATTGAAATACGTAATGGTGAATTCGAGCCAAATTAATTTTTGATGTACAAGTTTAAATAGAACGAGCAGTTATGTGAAACTTTTACACGGTTCAATGCATGCAAAATAACTGTGCTAACCTCTAAAAGCAGAACTAAATCACCTCCTACCATATACATAGAGCAGGAATTGGAGGACAATGACATCAATGGAAGTATAAATGACAATTATCTTTATCATCTCAAAATTACATTCATCAATCAATTTGTTCTTATAGTCACTTCAGGTATTCAAAGAGGAAAACAACAAATATCAGGATCACACATGGTCAGTAGTTATATTACAAAAATTCAGAAGAAAAGTTTAGCAATAGAACTCCGCGTACCTATTATTTTGCCATTAGCAGATAATCTAGTAATGTTCATCATATGACCTGCAGGTAAGGCATGCAAAATTGTAACACTACAAAGATGATCAAAGGATTCAACAGATGTTAACACAAGCAGTGTAGCTAGCTTATATAAGGCCCATGTCCATCAACCTTTTCTCTTGAATTCTCCAACTTTGCAGAAGGCAATATGATCTTTCCATAATCTTCTTATAATGTAAGCAAAGCTGAAGGAGACACCTAACCAGGAGGTAGCTCCCATCAAGAAAAACTTTGCACCATAAAACCCCAGATAAAGATTAACCCAGATTATCTCATTCTTTTGAACTTCGGATCCACTCCTATTTTTAAGTCTTTGTATCTAGATTCTAGCACACAGCCTGATTTTACCTCTCATTTATGGCACAGGTCTAAGTGCTGCAAATGAGTAAATTACATAATTTGATACCATATACCACTAATCTTCTCGAATCTCAAGTATCACCAAATCCATATCTTCCCAGAAACAACATAGTTTACTTCTAGGCTCTAAGGCTATGCTTCCATCTTACCAGAAATCACTCAAGCGATTCTTAAATGTCTTCAATTCCAGTCTAGATGTTTTACATATATTATCACAAGCACAAGCGTATGAAATCGATGTATTAGAATCATGTATTAAACAATATAATAATCAGCAAGGTATATAAATCAGTTACAAAATACCTGCCTAATCAGAAAAGGCTTCTATCTTTGCAATAATGACCATCTCTTCTGCTATAGAATTTAAGTCAGCGAATCAAAAACTCAAGTGATTTTATAACTAATTAAACTCTTAGGGCCCTTTGGGAAGTGGTTCACATATGGAACTTACAGAAATAATTATAAAAAATTCAAGCCATGCAACTTAGAGAAATAATTACAGGGTGTCAAGTCTATTACATTTTTTAACAGAAACAATTTAGTGATGGCAACATCAACTAATATTGGGAAAACAAAAGGGGCTACTAAGAAGGATGAAAATTCGTAGGAGATTCCATGCTAAACTTTTACTTTCTTCATACAAGCATAGATTGAATCTCCCTAATTTTCATATGAAAAGACCAAATAGAGTAAAATGAGATAATTAACTAAGCAGCAGAAAAATATAGCAAACAGGAATCTGCAAAATATATTTCACAAATAATTCATACAATGCTTATATGATTGGAACTTGAACTCTACTATAAAATAAACAGAGACATTTTCTACAAATACCTTTGCTAAAAAAATTAGATAGAGAACCCCACAGGATTGTCAACTAAGCGGAGAAGAAAAGGAAACAAGTAACAAAATGCTGACACAACAAAAAGAAAAATGATAGCTTAATTTGTGTTTAATTTTGAAGGGAAAAGAGAATTGGGTTTTTAATTAGAGGCTAAATTTCACTTAAAAGCAAATAGAAACACATGGAACCATATTGAAAGCTAGTTAGGAAAAACAAGTTGCTCTTATTCCTTGTTACCAAATTTCTTGGCAATGAGAGGACGGACATCATCAACGTCAACCAGAGTCTCTAAAAAGGGAAGTAACGAAATTAGTGCACAATCAGACGGATCATCAAACCAACTCTTAATAGGAATCCCGTTATTCACTTGCAACCTGAAAACCTGAAATCAGCAAAGATGAAGAATTCTTAAGCAATCAGAAGTATAAGCATGCGACAATTAGTTAGTCAGTTCATTTTTCTTTTTCACTTCTAGATATTTCACCATTGTACTATTTAAGTTGATAGTGGACAATGCATTTTGATGCTGCCACTAGACAAATAACCTCTATCCTTTTCTAGGTGATTGTAAGGAGCAAGGCACAACAAGTCCTCACAACTACCTCTTACAGTTAATCTTGGTTAATTGGATAGGATAGCTGTTATTGTTGTTAGTGAAAATGATTCTCAAATGAACTTTATGCAACACTTCTAACTGCAAGTAGAAATACCTCAAAATTTGAATCTTTTTAATGACAAAGACATGCTGTCACTCACCAGTTCACATCTACATAATCTTTGCCTCAGCAAAATTAAATCTCAAAGGCACATTAAGTTTAAGCTAAAAGCAATAAATGCTTTTAAAAAAACAAGGAAAAGATGACTGCCAGGATGACAATTATATGTCTTGACTGAATTTGAACGCAAGATAGACGAAGTTCATGGAGGGTAAACCTTAAAGAGAAGTGGGTGGGTAAAATACCTGTGGAGAATTATCAATTATAGCAACTTTTGCAAGATCAACACCTAAAACTGTCAAATCTTTAGTGTAACTTCCATCTGAAAAAATGCAAGATTCCCGATAAACCCGACGAGATATGAGCTTCCGATCTGAGTCCAATATGTCCAGTAGTTGTTCCGCATAAATGCTTTGGCTGGCAGTAAAGATAACAATTTCAAACATCTCTGCAACTTTCTCCAAAAATGTCTGGAGGTGAGGCCTCTGCTTTACGTACAAAGTGTGCTCTTTCATGTTGAAAAAGACTGTAAAGGTGAAGTCAGCATCATCACAATGTTCTACCGTAGAGTGGACAAGAGTTTCTGCATGTATCAAAGCAATGGTGATCAAACATATAAAGTAATATTGATTATTAAAGTTTTTTAAAGCACCAAGTGAAAGAGAAGAAAAAGAAGCAAATCTCAAACAATCCTGTACAAATTGTCAAAAGAGAAAGCAGCTTCTGGATCACAAATGCCATCCCAAATTATTCACATATGTGGGAAGTCATTAATACCATCCAATAATTAACAGTTTTGCAAATAAAATTGGATATGCAATCTGTCTTAAACCCCTGAATGCATTTGAAATTTTTCTAGAAAAACTTCAATATTAACCCCGCCAACAGAAGAAATACAGCATGTGTGCTGATTATGACATACATAGACAGCATTAGCCAGTGAATGTCGGTGTAACCTACGCTGTTTATGGGAATTAAGACAATAATTTCCCACAAGGTTCCACCAGTTCCTTTTTAATCCATACAGTATTGTCATCCTCATTGGCACATTAGGCTAAACTCCATTTTATAGGCCTTATGGCTTTATATAAGAACCAAAACAGTATGTTCGATACTCCATTTAAAAAATCACAAGAATTAATTAGTCATTGGAAGAAATTTTCAGGCAGCAGTACTGGTGAATGAATGACGGATTGCTCCCAAAGACAAAAACATATAAAACATGTATGTCTTACCATCCAAATCAAGCACAAGAGTTATGGGCTTCCTTCTCCAAGCCTCTGTTGGAACCATAGCAGGCCGAAAGCTTGATACAACATCAGATAGTTCTGGTAAACTTTTTATAAATGATTGTGGATCAAAGTCATCTGCTTGACCAGAGTCAGCGTTAACATCAGATTCCTTTATGCAGGATCTCATCTGATCAATTGCTGGACATAAACCAGTATTATCTTGAGCCATCAAGGCTTCGTTTTGCAAATTAACATCATTTATATCATTGGCTTTGACAGTGTCCTCAAGGAAAGGCAGTATCATATATTGCTCGGCCACATCAAACAACATACGTGGCTCAGAACACATAAAATCAGGAAATGAATTGGTTCCAGAAATGTTATCATCAACAGCATTTCCATCAAATGGTATGCTCGTGATTATCATGTCAGATATAAAGAAATCTGATACATTACATGTTTGACTGCCAACTGAGCTTTTGTTATCAGCTCTGTCATCAGCCCCTGATGCGGGCACTTCAGGGCCATCATTACTCCCTACCACAATTAAAAAGAGATAACCACATCAAATAACTATAAACCTTGCAACTTTCATAACGTGAAAAAATAACGACCTATATATATATATATATATAAAAGTAGCAACCCTTGAATATTTCAATTCATAAAAGTTCTTCATCCAAGTAGTGAAAGATTAACATTGATTACAGGTAAAAAGACACAATTGTAGTATGTAAACATAACCTATACAGTAAGGTGCCAGGCAAGGGGAAGAAGGAAGATTATGGGTTTTTTCTTTTTCCGTACAGAATGTAATCTGAAAAATGACAGATCATTTTTTAGCACTTAGCTTGAGTGATAAATAAGCCACTCAGTCCTTGAGGCCCTGTCTTTCTGAAGCAATGCTATCAGAGACTGAAATTCCATATTATCAGAATTCTTCATGGTAGCATGAAATATCAAATGCACAAAACCCTTAAATACCAAAAGTTCATAAAAGTAAAGATTGCCCCATAAGCATGCAAGAAGATTAATAAGAATCTTTCTTCTACTATTACTTTCTTCATTTTTATCTAGCAGGCTTTTCCCTGGTAACCATATTTTATTCTTCTTTTCTCTTTTCTAAATAAAATGTTTCTATATGGACCAAGTAAATTGCCAAGAGAGAAGGAATGCTCATAACTTAAATCATTATGTTGAGCAGGATTTCAACCAGAAATGCTAAAACAAACCGCCACTCTATTAGCCACAACTGGGGAAGGGAAAACAAATTCATGCGATATATAGCAGTAAACCAACTGAAACAAAGAATCACCTGCATCATTGTCAAAATTCGGTTCAATGCGTAGTTGGATTGGCTCCAGAAAAGGAGAGAATATTGTCTCTAAGTTTGAGGCACAGGTGTGGGCAGATTCCTGCAAATTAATAAGCCATCATTGATGAGCAACCGCAAACCAAGTTAGGAGCAGTCTACTACATGATATCTTCAAAAAGCAGGGTAAAAATGAAATAAACAACTAATTCACAAAGTATGGTCCTCAAAAATAATAAAAACTTACCATTCTCCCTACAGTTGTAGAATCAACAAAAACTGGAAGCTGTTTCTGAAGCCCAGAATCGTCTTCATCCAAACTTAGTTGCTGTGCACTGTCTCCATTAATTTCAAAAACTTGAGACGCCACTTCTACATTTGATGAATCTATGAGAACACTCAGTAAGCACGTGTAAAAAGCTAAAATATCAACAGACTTTATCTTCTTTTTCTTTTTTTTTTTAAACTTTTCAAAGAAAAGAACAAACAGAAAATTAAACAAGCATAAATATAAGTAAACAAAACAAATGAGTGAATAACCAATACATTCTTATGCTTGGAAGCACCACATAGAGGATAGACAGTAGACGGGTTTAAGGGCAGGGAATACATGGAGTGCCATGCATACAGAGATCCTAAGTTCCCATTATCTGCAACTGTTTAGCCAACAAATTAATAATACTTTCTTCTCCAAGTGGTTCAAATGGTTAATGTATGTACTTGGTCATTTGTTTGTCCCACTAGAGTCTGCTATAATTTGATGGTGATGGTATCTTTCCAAACAACTGCATCTTTAACATTCTAGATATGGGATAAGCATGATTCTAACTTCTATATTGCAATTTTTAGAACACGAGTTATACTCAACAAATAAGCAGTTAAGTAAAAAAATCACAAAGAAACATCATTTCTCACACCAAGGAAACTGCGACAAAACACAGGCCAGGGCCAGCAGGGTCAAGAGTCTTGTCCACAATAAAGCAATGTTTTGAAATTGCTAATTTTAATGCACTCAATTTACAGAGAACACACAATGTCAAGATATAAGTAAACAGCACAAGAATTTAGAAACCTTGATAATAGGACACTTAAACAAGCAACTTTAAATGTAACAAATAACATTAGACAAATATCAGCCTTGATCAATGTTGGTTACCATCGTGAAAGTTTTGAATGCACATACCGAATTCAGCTCCTTGCGGGGAAATCCTAACATGAGAGCACGGCCTTTTGCAAATCATGCTAGACTTCTGACACACCCAGAGACCATTTTTTTCTCTTAAAGAACCCGTGCTTGATTTGGTCTTCATTCTTAGAGATGGCATTTGATCTGCAACTGTTATATATACCACAATCTCGATTGCGGAACATCAGTGGGGAAAAAAACCCCTCTAAACAATCAAATCAGCAGCAGAAGCTGTGTTACATGAATAGTCAAGGACAAGAAGCGAACATATTAAAACAGCTTGACATAAAGGACTAACAGAACAAAGAGACAAAGATAGAAAAGAAAGAACTCTCAAGCAGCATAATTTGTGAGCAGTGAGACATGTATGGCAAAAACAAAACCAAAGAAAATGATGGGAATCAAAAGTCAAACGCCAGAACCCTTTTTTCTAGAAGTACTAAAGAGTGTTGAAATAATCAATTCAGAATATCACAGAACACCACAATTCTGAAACCTAGATCTATATTTCTGTTAGGCAAACATAGGTCTTGGTGCATACTATAGTCGGCCTTGAGAGAACTTTTCATACAAAGAAAATTTAGAAGAGAAAGAGAAAGGTAGCAAAAACTCTTCATGAGAGACATGCAAATAAGAACCGTATCAAAGCAGAACAAATTCTTCAAGTAAAACCCACCAAAATTAAAGTCAACCCAAGTCTTTTAATCCCATAAAACACAATAAAACCTCATAACACACCTTAATTACACAGCAAAACATCAAAGGATACCAAAAAAGCTCAAAAAAACCAAAACCCTTCTGCATATAAACCCTAACCAAAAAAAAAAAGCTTAAATGACAGTTATACAGTTTCAACTTCCATTTAAACAGTCATAGATTAAAAACCCACAAAAAAACCCAGAGCTAAAGATCAAAGACTCAGTACAATAAAACAACAAAATTAGCTAAAAGAAACTTTACCAAAAAAATAAAGAAAAAAGTGAAATTTTCAAGCATGAAAATAGAAGTACCTGATTAGAGGGAAAAAAAAAAAAAAAAAAGGACTCTTGCTTTCGTTTTCTTTCTCCCTCTATTGCTAAAGAAAGACTAATGTTTTGTTTCTCTCTCTTTTTAACTTCCACGAACGGTCGAGACAAAGGTTTGAGGGGGCAAATGTCGGCTTCTAATGGATGATACGGACGGCTGTGATCAAATCTTTAAGAGGAGTTTGGACCCTTGGAATTGCCACGTAGGATGTGGACCAGTTCAGTCTGACTTGTTGACACGTGCAGGTTCGTAGAAAGAGAGGGAACATTTGGGAGGAAATTGTGGAGGGAAATGGAGTTTGATGTTTTTCATAGTCGCGTGTTTTGCATTGCACTTTTACAGCTGTTATTTCTTGTCTGTTTCGTTTCTCTTTGGATTTTTAACGGCAATTTGATTTTGATGCAAGTTTTAATTCAGTTTCGAATTAGTATTTTGTAATTTCATAATTTTTTTACATTAAAAAATCAAGCTCCATTTTTTAAAAAAAGATCGTGCATCAACAATTGACATTAAATATTCTAATGCAAATATTTTCAAATTTTAAATTCAAATATAGATTTTAATTTGTTAGTTCCTGCTTTCAGAATAAATTCAAAAAGAAAAAAAATTGAAAACATTGGAGGTTAAAGAGAAGTCTATAGTTTGGTAAACCACAAACGTAAAAAAAAATTAATATTTAAAAAAATACATGCTGATTATATTTTAGATTAATTGACATTTATTGAAATTAATATTTAAATTAAAAATTTTATGTACATAATTTTTTAATCAAATAAATAATTAAATAATTGGATAACAAAATTTAAAAATAAATTAAGAATTAAAAAAAAAAAAAACACTTATTGTGAGAGACAACGTGTGTTGGCCTTTTTTTGGGCGAAAGAAAAAAAAAATTCGGTTGACTTGACTTGTTGAATTGCTCATTGGTGACCTTGGCAAGAGTATAAAGCATTGACTTCGAAACTGCTTATGTTGTCAGTGTTGAACTCCTAATGTCTGTCGCGGCAAACGTGTTTTTTTTTTTTTTTTAGTTATTGTTTTTGCACATGAAATTTTTAATTAAATTAATTACTCTTTTATCTCTAAATATATAATCTTTAACTTCTCTCAAATAAAGTAAGGGTAAATAAATAACCATGTGATGTACAATGTAAATAATATACAAAATTTAATATCCTACATTGAAATTAATATTTTTTTGAAATAAAAAAGGGTTGGAGTCTTAAATAAATGAATTGCACATATTAGAATTAAAAATTTAAATTTATTAAATATCATTTTTTTAAGTGATATTTATTAAATTTTTTATTAAAAATAATTTAATAAATATTAAAATTAAAAATCAAAATCAATATTCTTACATAACTCAAAGTGTGCAAATTTTTAAAAATATATATAATTTGATATATTTTTTAGTTGGGTAATTTTAGTAATTTTTTTTACAACATTTTTATAGTTTGATAATTTGTTCTTATTTTGTTAAAAATTTTTTGATTGATTGATATAATTTATGAAAAAGTTTACATGAATTTATTTAGATTATTTAAATGATAAATACTTAAAAAAAGAGTCTGTATTTTGCACCATACAATTTTCTGTAAATGACGCCGATGGTTACATCCCGACCCTTCAAAATCTCAACTCTAACAACACATATAGATATTATAATCAACTTAAACTATCAAATTCCAGATCACCTGAACATCAAAAAGAACCGAAAATAGAGAGGAAAATGAAGAATAATCATGCAGAACACAGTAACATCCTCTCAAATGCAAGACATAAGACAGTGATCTGTGCAAAAACCACAATGCTCCTACAGCTTCAAAGTTCAAATGCTTTGCTACTAAGAGTCTTGAGACTCCACAAAATCTGCATCCTGTTATAGCTGGTTCAACTCTTCCTATGTTTGTACAGTTGAGTATGTACGTAAAAGTTAGCAATCACTTCCCCCCAAGAACTCGGTGATAGGGCAATCTCCTTCCACTAAGCTGTTAAAAGGTTTCTACCTCCTTGCCAGCATCTTTCTCTTTAGGGTTACCCGAAGAATCACCCAAGTGTGACTCATTTGGCTGGCGTATGATATTCAAACTGGAATGTAAATGCTCTGGGATGCTCTAAAAAAAAAATAAAAAAGGCCATTATTATTATTACTACTGATACTTACACAAATTAAAAAATAGTCAATGAAAGTAATGAGAAAAAAATGTATGCAAAGGAAATTTCCAGGTTTGGATTACAATACAACAGAATAACAAATACTACAGCTACCTGATCACCACCGTCTGGGCCCTCAGAGTGAAAGAGGATTGGGCGACAGCGCTTATCTTCATTCATCAAGCTTGAATTCTGGAAGTGGGCAACAAGAGCGGCCTTTCCCTGGATTCGAGCATATGCCAAAGAAGCAACTTTCTCACTATTAAACTTCTCCCACTTCTTTCCATTAAATGCCTGCATAAGGTTGTTAACATAAATGAGTCCAAAGAAAACATTCCGAGGCTTAAGTAACAAGCCTGCCGTTCTCTTTAAAAATAAGCACAAATTTTCTAATAGGGAAAAAAACATTAAAAACAATCAGTCCTAAATGCACCTAAGACACAAAAAGGTTTAAATTATATTAAGGTAAAAATGTATAACCTCATAAAACGGAATAATGTGTGAAGGAGACAGCATATTGATAAAGGCATAGCCCACATTGCATTTATTCTGCACCGCAAATGAGAATATTATCAGTTGCAATTGAATTTAACAGTTAAATAGTCTAAACTGCTAATCACAACCTCAAGGTAATTACCTTAAAATCAATGGGCAAATAGAGAAAATCATAAGTCCCCCGGTGATTTTCATCAATGGCAGCCAGCAACATCTTTGAGGTATATCTGAGGATCATTATGAAATAAAAATTGTCAAGTAAAGGCATCAGTGCTTCAAACATATTGACGGGCAATCAATATTCATAAACCAGAAGATTATAGAGGATGGACTGACTTATTTGGAATATTTTTTATCATCAGGGTTGTTCGAGTATCTTCACCACTAATAATTTTATCCAAGTCCAGCTGAAACAGCTTTTTGTTATCCAGCTGGTTCCCATTATTTTCAACCCTTCTGCTCCTGCCACGCTCAGCCAACCCCTCCATACCATTAGGCAGTAGTCCTGGGTATAGGCCATTGCCCAAAAATACAGAACTCAACCTAGGTGAAGACATCATTCTCATACTTGATGAACCATTCTCAGACACATTCCGTGGAATGCTAATACCTGAACTCATAGCAGGACAAGAACCCATATTAACCATAAAACCTCCATCCCTTTGGCCCACACCTATGCCTCCAAAAGCAGCAGGACTCATGAATGTACTATCTGATGATTCTGGGAAGAAACCAAAATGCCTTTCCAGAGGAACACCAGATGGAGCAGATCCAATGTGATGATGATGGTGTTGGGATGAGCCTGAGAAAGATCCTTGCCAACCTGAGTATGGAAAGCCATTGCCTTTTCCGTTGGATGAAAATGGATGTCCCATAGATGCTGGTGGCCAAGGTGAAGAGTTTGTGTGATCCATATATGAATTTTGGTTTCCCCAAAGAAACTGTGGCCCAGATAATGTTTCCATACTGGAACCATTTGAAGGACCAAAAGTAGGTATGGTTCCGTGGTAATGGCTCAACTTTGGCTCTGGCAAGGAATGGGAAAGTTGAAACCCAGCTCCATGGGTTGAATTCATACTGGTTAATGAATGCTCCACTTGAATACCCCTCCCTTGGTCCTTGGCAAAAGGTGCAACTTTCATGGGGTTTGGCACTTGAGGATGCAGGATAGAAGCCAGACCAGGTAAATGGTTTCTGGTCGTTGGGCTCATGGTCCTGAAAACAGGGGACTTACTAAGGGAATGCATAGGATTTTGTTCTATAGGACTGTTAAACTGTGTCCAGCTACCTGTCAGGAGTATTGAGACATCCTCAGATTACAAAAATATACAAGACATGATCAAACGGTATGCACACAAATGATAGAACGAAGATCAACTAGCCCTACCTGGAGGAGAATTGGCTATTGGGGAACCAACTTGACATTTAAAACCCCGAGATTCATCTTGTTCAAGCTCTTGATTTAGTTGCAACATCAAGCTACAATTTGAAAAAGATTAATAACAAATATTCATCATTAATATACTTCCAAAAACAACAAAGCAAGGAATCAAACAAACAAATTCTAATAAATGGTAAAAGCAGAATGAAGAGAGTTTTAGAATTTTTTTTAAATAAATAAAAAGAAAAAATAGAAAATTGATGTTGTCTAGAATGTAGCAGCCAAGATAGAGGATCCATGTAATACAACTCCCACAATGCCAAAACTACAGTAGTTCTCATTGTTTCTATTTCCTTTCAGGCTTCAATTTACGATATATAGTAATTTACCTCTTCCAATTAATACCAATGCACATGCATGAAAATTGAACACCATTACAAAAATGCAGAGAGGCAGAAATTGATTAGTTTTCATCCCTTAGTACCAGTAGAATACAAATAGCGCAACACTATCAGGTCACATTCAGAAAAAAGAGCATCCCAATGCTATCACAGTGCCAAACACCATGAGGAAGAACTAATAGAAGATTTATCAAATAAAAAAAAATTACAATTTTTATACATTAGTACTAATAGAAGAATAAAGTTATAAGATACACGCACTTGCGACGAGCTCCTCCAGGTCGACTAGGTTCAAGCTTAATACGTTTACCAGCTATGTCACTTCTATTCAGTGACTTAAGAGCTTGTTCTGCAGCTCTAACATCATAAAATTCAATGAACTTATGGTGTCTCTTGTGTGGCGTTTCCCTTATCTGCTTTTATGCAATGAATAAAGCATAGCAGAAACGTCAGACATTCAGTCCCAGGTTTAAAGCAAGGAAACATTTTGAAAAAGAAAAAAGCATCACCTCTTTAACCTCGCCATAGACCCCAAATATTTGACGAAGATCTTCATTTGAAACTGATGGATCCAAATTAAAAACTACCAAAGTTCCTTGATTAATATCCTTCTCTGATGGATTATCCTGGGGTAATGTAGGGTTGGCAGAAAAAAGTATAATGGAAAGACAGTTAATAATAACACTGACAAAACAAATTATTTGGGGTTAAAAATGATCTAAACCTTAGGAATTGAGAAGTGAATGTCAAGTTTTCTCCGTCTTAGTGGCTTGTTCTGTAAAGCACGCATAGCTGTTCGAGCAGAACGAATGTCATAATAGGATATCATTACAAAGCCCCGATGTTTACATGCAGTGTAAAGAGTTCTAATATCACCATATTGCTGCCAAAAGAAAAAAAAATGGTAGCAGTCACATCAGACAAGATAGGAAGTGACTTGAATTAATTCACAAACCCAGCTAAGCAACAACAGGCCTGGATCAATAACCGTAGTCTAACAATTTAAATTTGCATTCTAGAATTTAACGAAGCATATATCTAAAACTCTAAATTACTCTGCGCAACACTTTTAACTTGAAAAACTATAAGGTTTTCAATTCCAGCATGTAAAACCCATTTATGGTTCCAAGAGCAATGTATTCCAATTTCAAGCAATGCATGTATCAAAAAGGGAACAAAATAATGAACGTAATTCCAAAAGCTGAATGTGCTTTTACTGCCAGCCCTAAGAAGGTGGTGTCAGGGAATGCCACCAGAAAGAATTTTAAGAATCAATTACCTCAAAAAGAGCTCTTAGTTCTGAATCCTCAACATTGCTATTTATATTCCTAACAAATAATGTCCTCGAAGGATGTTCTCCATATGGATGTTCCCCAGCGATGGTTCCAACACCATTTGGAAGACCATGATGGGGCATGCCGTCTCCAACCATGGCATCAGAGAGACTCACTTTTGACATACCAATGGTTAGGCTCTCTAGTGGATCAGTTTCCAATTCCATACCCCCTCCACTACCAAAAAGATCATACTCCAATTCTTCCAGTGAACTAGGCAACCCACTTAAGTCAAAGTCATCCATTATGCCTCCTAAAAGCTCATTCTCATCATCAGGAAGCAAGCTTCCAAGTGCATGACCTTCAATGTCTCTGAGTGGATCATTGCCACCCACATCTTGATGGAGGTTATTTAGATCAGATGCGATATCATCAATAGATCGATAACTATGATCCATAGCATTTAAGTTCACTGCAAAGTGCATACAGTCAAAATCAGGTCAGACTTTCCTTAAAACAATAGATAATCTTTAAACAGCAGCTAATGCTTACACTTTTCATGTGGAAGAACAGGCAATGAGCTAGAAAAAAGGGTAGCATCACTTGAGGCATGGCAGATGTCAGAACCAGAAAAAATACCACCTGCACTTTCCACTTCCTTAGATTCATTTGCCTTTGGAATCTTGGTAGGGTCTACACCATACATTATTAACAAGACCATTAAATGAGAAAAATGCTTCATGTATTGGCAGCCTAAAATGAAAATTTGTGAAATTACCTGAAGCCGGATGGTCAGCAGACTGCTTCATTGCATTGCCTTTTCTGCCAAAGACAAGGGAATAGAAAATTCACTAAAATTATGAGATAGAAAGCACTGCACACTTGACAACTAAATTACTACTAAGAACAGCAAAAAATACACGATCTCAAAATTTTTCTTGGGGGAATGGGGGACATAAAGAGTCAAATATAAAGTCAAAACCAACAATCTGCTTAATGAATTTTGAAAGAAACCCACACCATGTTAAGTGCTATAATAATATGAATATGCCACAAAAAATCCAAATCTTTATGCCTAAATTAGTTGCAAGACTTCACACGCGAATTCAAGTTCCAATAAAATTCAGAAGTCTTACCTTTATTATCTATTTTCATGAATCATTACACCTAAATTCCAATTCCAAATTCATCACTATCTAAAAGTGAGACAAATTCAGAATCCAAAGTCCAAAAACAATTAAAAAAGGCACATAATCAATAAAAAAATTGTTAGAATAACAGCTGAAAATTCGGTATTTTGAACAACAGTTATACAGTAGCAATCAACCTTTCTTCTTCAATATCCAATATCAAAACTAATACCATCTAATGACAAGCTCAAGACAAACAAAACCCAGAAAACTTATTTCAAAAGATATTATCATAATATCAAAGACTCAACGTTACTTGCCCAAAAACAAAAACCCAATTCACATTCAAGATTAAACCCAAAAATAAAAATATTAGCTTCAAAATACAAATATAATCATCAAGAAACCCACCAAAACAATAAGTTGAATACAAAAAAATAGACAGAGAAAAGATTAGCTGAATGAGGCTCAAAGAGAGTGAAAATTAAAGCCTACATAAAGGAAAAGAAAAGAATTAACTGATTTTCAATGGAAAGCTCTCTGCCACGATCACACGCAAAAACAGAAAGAGACGTGAAGAAAGAGAATGTGCAGTAAAAAGTTCTCTCTTTCCCTTTCTTCTACAAGACTTTAATGGGTATTTTCCTTTTTCTTGAAAAAAAAAAAAAAGAAAAAAGTTTGAGGAACGATGATGATCGGACGATGGAGTTCAAGAGCATAGGATGATTAAGAGAGAGAGACAGGAACTATGTTGTGATTATCGGGGTTTTAACTGTATTTAAACATGTTTTTGGAGTCCAAAAACACGTTCTGAAAAAAAAATTTGGAAAATATTTTACTATGTGGATAGAGGTTTTGATCTCAAGGTGGAATTACGAAATTGCCATTAACTTGAGATTGGTGGATAAGATACGTTCTTGTACTTTAACTTTACCAGCGGTGAATTTGAAAATTAAATGATAAAAAAACAATTACTACTAAAAATAACTTGGATTTTTATTTCAAATTTTGAATTATTTTGACAACTAAAAATAATATTTCAGTATAAATTTTTGAATCTTAATATGATTATATAAAAAAAGTGAATTTTATGGATTGAAAAAAAATAGTATATTTCACTATATAATTTAATATTATAATTATAAAAAAAACTATTTTAATATATTACATTTTTCTAAAAATAATATGATCATAAATATGATAATTTATATATTTATATTATGTAAAATATTAATAATTTATGTATTTATATTATGTTTTACATTAAAATTATATATAATAATTTACGTGAATATAAAAATATAAAATATTTTTTATTTGTTAAATTTATATATAATTTTGATTAATATTTTAAATTGTATTATATTTTTATATATTTTTGTATCATATCATATTATCAAATTTAAATTGTAAAACAAATTCTATAAAATAGATTTTACTTGAAAAAAATAAATGCCATAAAGGTATACCAAAAAGGTGAATATGGTATAACATGATATGATCCAAATATTTGAAGCAACAATTGTGTGCAAAATATGGTATAAAGTGGCGTGTGATACTATATTTTGAATCTTGAGTATCATTTTTCCCTATACTATATGCTGTTTGAATATTCTTTTCTGTTTTTATTTAAAGTGATAAATTACTATAATTTTTTATTAATTATTTTTGGTCATTTACCAGATTTTTTGGTTTGCTTTCTAAATCTATAAATTTTGGTTACAACCTTTATAAACTATATTTCTAGTTGCATGTATGTATTTAGATCGTATTTATTTAATATTAAATATATTAAAATATTATAATTTATATTAATACATTAAATATAAAATCTATTTTTTATTTTTATTAAATATATATAGTTTTTGTCAAAATTTTAAATAAAAATAAATTTATATATTTTTTATATTTTTTTGTGTTATATTATCATGTTATATCTAAATCTATAAGGTTTAATTTGTATTAACAAAATGAAAAAAAATTAAAATTAAAACTTTATAGTTTCTATTTTGTTGTCATTGGAAGCTTCTTATTTATGTATACATATTAAAAAAAATTAAAAAATGGAACAAAGTAGACCAAATTTTTGGTAATAAAAATCCAATTAGTTTTGTAATTTGTGAAAATCTCAAGGTCATCTAGTGTTATTGTGTGTTTTATATTTTATATTTTTAAAATTTCTGTTTTTGTTTTATTTTCAATTTATTAAATTTTAAAAAAATAAAAAATAATGTTGTTGTTTTAAAAATATGAAAACAAAAATATGTACAAGAACATGGTTAAAGTTTTTAAATTCAATTTGTTATTAATAATATAATAATATTGTTAATATATTATTTATTAATATAATATTTATAAATAATATATTTATATAATAAATTATTATTTTATTAATATAATAACTGTATCGTTATTGTAACAATTTAATTATAATTTATATGAACAAATTCCATATGATAATAGTATCAAATTATTTCAAAAAACTAAAAATACTCTGTTTTCAATAATTTTCAATGCATTCTAAAATTTTATTTTTAGTTTTCAAAAGTAAAAAACAAAAAAAAAAAACCCAACAAACATATTTTTATGGTCAATTTTAAAAAATAAAAACAAAACAAAAACAAAGTGGCCCTCAATTGATGTTTCTCTCTTACAAATATCCGGCGGAACAACATTTCATGAATGCTGCTGCCGCATGTTCTTTCTTGTAGTTAGATGACTTTAAACAGTCAAACTAAAACTAAACAAGTGAATAAGACACAAAGATGTGCAAAAAGCTTTCTCTTCTCTGTTCTTCGAATCCAATCTCTTCACTGCCAGTGCCAGCCTCTCTTTATACTTTAAATGATAAATTAGTATTCATAAGATATAAACTATTCAAATATAATTAAAATAAAAATTTAATTATTATTAAATTAAATTTAAGATAAAATAATTTAATTTATGTCAAATTCAAATATTTAAATATGTTATTTGAATAGCTCACAAATTAATTTTTATATTTTAATATATTTTTTTGCTATTTCATTAAAATTATCATTTTATTTTTATACATATTATTCAAATTCAAATTCAAATATAAATAATTGAGCTTGAGTTAAATTTAAAAATTAACTTTATTTTTTATTTAATAAATAAATTTAATAAAATAAGTTCAAATACTTCAATATTTATTTTTTACTAAATTCGATTTTTCTCGGCTTGATTAGACCATAATATTGCTATTAATTTTTTTTTTATGTGGCGAATAAGAGTTAACAACCCAAAATCCAAAGGCCCAATTGAAGAATTAAACGATGGCCCAGAACCCAAAATCCACCATTAAAAAAAAGAACAAAACAGACGATTACTCTCCACCGTTGATTTATTCTAATCTCTCCAACAAACCCTAAATTTGAAAAGAAGCCCTAAAGGTCTTCACTCACAACGCCTCTATATAAGCTACCGCAACTCCATTGTAGGAAAGTCGGGGCGGCCAACCCAAAACCCTAATTTCCCCAGTAAACATCTCTACCTGAATTTTATTTGTTTGTTATTCTGATCTCATTTTTCATTATTATTTCAACAACTCAAATAACATTTTTTTCTTTGTGTCTTTGATAATGGTAAAGGACGTAAGAAGAAGAAGGAAAAGAAGAAATGGCGGTGCCGCTTCTTAGTAAGAAGATCGTGAAGAAGAGGGTCAAGAAGTTCAAGAGACCCCAGAGCGACCGCAAAATCTCCGTCAAGGTATATCCAAGTTTTTTTTTTTTTTTTTATCTCTTTAAGCCTTTTGTTTTGAGCTTTGATTTTTTTTGGAAGAGGGGAAAATGATGATAGTTATGGTCGCCCCAGTCTTACTTTGCATATATTTATGTCTTCATATGCAAAGTTGGTGATTGACATTTTTATCTGATTCCATAGTTTCATTTCATTTTACCAATCTTTATTTGCTTGCCAAAATTTGTTCAAAAGTTTATTTTTTTGTGCGTGCTGAATTGAATTTGAGTGAATGTGGATATGAAGATAGATCTTGACACCCAGTCTGAGTTGCGATATGCTGAGCCAGTAGCGCTCGACTATCTGATCCATTTCTAAAGCTCTTGTTTTATTTTTTCTTTATTTTCTTAATAAGAGATTGAAAGGGATATGATGATTTTTGTTTGACACCCAGTCTTACTTTCATCTCTTGATGGAAGATGGTGATATTCAACTCTTTGTCTGATCCCTTTTTTTATCAAATAGCCAATTCTTTTTATTTTTGATTCATTTTTTTTTATTCTTGTAACGTTTGGTTCTTAATATGCAAGGAGGTGTGATGATACTTATCCATCATTTCTGCATTTGAATGATGAATACCAACATGCACTACCATCTGATCTTTTGGCATATTCTTTTTCTTTTCAAATTTGAATTTTTATTGATTTAATTGTTTTTATGTCATTTGTTGTAATCTATGATGTAAATGAATCATCAAGCCTGATCTATCTGTGATGATTATATAAATAATCACCATCTTTCGGCTGAGATTGATGCTCTTTATTATACTAAAATTACTTTGCTTAATTACAATTTGTTTTCGCCTCTTTGGAGAGGTTTCTTGGAAAGGGTCTTGCCCGTGGTATCTGATGTCCAGTGTTTATGTATTTGTAACTGGTCATTTCGTTTTAAGGGCAGATAAAAAATTTTGAACAGGTCTTGCGACACAGTTAGCTGTTTTCTTTCACAAGCTTTCTGTTACTAAATCCCTGGTCACATTTTATGCTTTTATTTCATGTTTTAACCCCTTTAGTTTCATTTTCCATGCTTTTCGGTTGTTTGTGTTAATTTTGATTTATGAAACTTGTCTGATTTGTCATGGTTACTCTGTTGCTTGATGGCAGACAAACTGGCGTAGACCAAAGGGTATTGATTCTCGTGTAAGAAGAAAGTTCAAGGGATGCACTTTGATGCCCAACATTGGTTATGGTTCAGATAAGAAGACTCGTCACTATCTTCCAAATGGCTTTAAGAAATTTGTTGTTCACAATGTGGGAGAGCTTGAACTGTTGATGATGCACAACAGGTACTGTTAACTTCCCAAAGAATGAGTGATTAATTGTCTATGAAACACATCATTTATGTTTGTGGTCTTAATGTGTTTTTGTTACTGCTCAGGACATACTGTGCTGAGATTGCCCATGATGTTTCCACAAAGAAGAGAAAAGAGATCGTGGAACGAGCAGCACAGCTTGATGTTGTCGTTACTAACAAACTTGCCAGGTTGCGTAGCCAGGAGGATGAATGAGCATAAACTTGTACCTGTTTATGTTTTTCTTATAAGCTTTGGATAATTTGTTAGATGGCAATCACATTCACAATCGTGATTTTTGTTTGTCTTAGAAATTAAAATTGCACTTACAATTATGTCAAGATATTTTCGTTTTTTTAAAAAGTACTTTCATAAGTATTTAGTGTGAACTTTACTCGTGGCGAGCTTGTCAGTTATCCAATCAAAGCTTAGCTTGCCCGATTCAAACAGGGGCTACTTGTCTCACTAATTTCTAAAAAACAGGAATCCACAGGCCAATGAAAGAATCAAGTCTACAACTTTTTCTAAAAGAGTAAGATCTCATTTACAACGTAATTCACTCCCATATCTATCAGCTGAGTGCATGCTTAGTACTCTAATCAACAAAAGCATGACTAATAGCAGAGAGACTCTAACAAGTATCGTGCTTGTTACCCCTCCCTGCTCTAACCTCAACCCTTGTGCGTCCCATGGAAGCTACGGCAAAAACCACAGCAGCAGCAGCAGCTATAACAACAACTCCAACCGATGCAATAATTGAACCCCATCTGAGTTTCCTTGCCTTCACTTCTTCCTCTACGACACACTTTCTCTCCCTCTTTTGCCGTTCAACTCATTAGTAGCACTATTAATATATATAAATTAACCCATCAATTCCTTGCTCTTTTTGCCCTTCAACTCCATAATAGCACTCTTAAGCTCCCATGACCAAGACTCCAATTCCCCCATCTTCACCTCCATCTCACTCATCATCTCCAAGGCCTCAACTTCATCATCATCTGCAAAGCAAGCAAAACAAAGCTGCCCCTCTCCAACATTGCCTCCAAAAGCTCAAATTCCTTACACTATTCACTTGCTCCAATCTCCCCACTCTCTTTCTTCTCTTCCTCCTCGTCATCACTCACATTCCCCATCTTATCAAACTTCTCCGCGAGTTTTTTCTTATCCAAAACTAATTGCCTTAGATTCACTTGCTGCCTAGAAGGATCAGTTCCTAACTCTTTAAAAGCTTCACCTTTTTCACATTTCTTGGTTTCTTCAATTCCAATCCCCAAATCTTTAAATTTATCATTACTTTCCCCTGTTTCAAGCATTAAATCCAAAAACTTTTATTCCAATTTCTTCTCTTTCAAAATCTCACATCCTCCAATTTCTTCCTCTTCTCTAAATTTCTCCAATTTATCATCTTTTAATCGTTGTTCAAGCACCAACATTAGAAATTTCTGTTCAAGTTGTTCAATTTCAAGATTTAATTGATTTTCATCTTGATTTTAAGGTCAACTTTAATACGTGGTGACTTTTGATTGGCCTAAATTCTTTTGAATATGAAAACCTCTCTAATTTGCTACCGATAATCCCCACAGGAGGACATGCCATTTCGGAAGTGATGAATGCGTGTAGAAGCCCAACCATCTTTGCTATGAGCTTAATGGCACTATGGCAATCACCAGATACACGAACATTCTTCATCACTGATATTGCGCTACCCTTTGTGGTAGTCACCAATGCAAATGTAATGGCGAGCCTCACACTCTGATAAGACAACATCTCTTGCTTCTGCTCATCCTCGACATCATGCAGGGCAAACCTCTCATCCAGAGCCTAACTCCTTTAATTTTCCTCCCAACCTATCCAGCTTTTGAGACATTATCTCAATTAGTGTGTGAGATCTATCTCCAGAGACAAACTCATGCCGTACTTCCCTTTAAGTAACCCAACTTCAACCTCAACCTGGTTGTTTCACAATTCCTTTCTGTTTCATCCGTACTCTCATTCTTGAGACATCGGCTCGTTTACCAGAAGAAGCATATTTATTAGACAATAAAACGTAGGCAGCACAAATGAGCTAACTTTTGGTTTATGTTGTTTCCATTTTTACCTTTTGGTGTTTGTTAAAATCAACTGTGCAGATATAGGACTGGGGAAAAAGAGGATCAACCCCAAATTTACTGAAATCTATGATACATGTTGTGATTAATTAGGACGACGCAAACTGCCCAAGATTTATATGTATATTGTAGGTAGGCATTTAAATCTGGAAAAGAATCCGAAATGTAATTTAATTGATTTATGTACTCATTTTAAAAAATAACATTAGACAAGTGTGGATCATATTTCAGCAACTGCAATTTCTTCCTTTATATTCAGCTTTTTAACAACCTGTTTTGTTTAAAAAAATCTTGACAAGAAAGATTGTTGGTCTGAAGAGAGACTCACTTTCCATGTGACAGGCTGGCAGCAGATACAAATGAGCTGAAATGGGTTCAGATAAACTTACTAGTTCAGCCCCTCAGGCCTCATCAATTGGCAAAGAATATAAGAATATGACTTTTCCGTCGAGGTACAACTTGCTGCAGAAAGCCTAGTCCAAGAATGTACCATTTAAAAAATAGCTGAAAATACGAACCAAGCAAGAATCCGGTTGTTTTTTGTAGGCTTGCCTTGAACATGAAGCATGCTCTTTACAGCCCTACAAGCCCTCTGGAACCTGCAGCCTTAACAAGAAAAGAACCAAACCCTTCATTTGATGTCATATATATTTACTTCCAATCGGCACAAATCACATGTACCTGTGACAATCTTTCCTGCAGTACATCTTTTTAGAGTTCTGAAAACTCCTAATCCTCTTTCTTTCTACAGCTTTTCATCTTAAAATCATCAAGTAGTACGAGGCAATGGCCAGCGATCAAATGAAACCGGTTGCTGCACTGCTTTTGTTCCTTAATTTCTGCATGTATGTCATTGTTTTGGGGATTGGTGGATGGGCCGTGAATAGAGCAATTGATCATGGATTTGTCATCGGTAAATCACCCTCTTGTCTTTGCCTCTCTGTCATACAATTAGTGAAGGAGTAACACCATTAATCATGATTCACAAGCAAATAATTAGAATATATATAATATATTCGTAAGGCTCAAGCTGGCTTCTCTACGTGACATCTGCAGGATATGGCTTCAAGCTGCCAGCGCATTTCTCACCTATCTACTTCCCCATGGGAAATGCTGCCACCGGATTCTTCGTCACATTTGCTCTTCTAGCAGGAGTTGTTGGTGTAGCATCAGCAATCGCCGGTATCAACCATATTCGTTCGTGGAATGCTAGTAGCTTGCCATCAGCAGCTTCAATTGCTACCGTTGCTTGGACCCTTACTGCAGTTGCCATGGGGTCATCCTCTAACTCTGGCGTCTTGAGACACTATCTTTGATATACATCTAAAGTTGAAAGATGTCAAGCCCCTTACCTTAAAATGCTTCGTTTCTAAACTAACTAGAAAATATTTCTTTCACAGATTTGCCTGCAAAGAAATTGAACTTGAAATCAGGAATGCTCGTTTGGTAAGAATGAAATTCAGCTTTCACCCAATTCTCAACTCTACTAACTCTTCGACTAGTTGGTCTCAGCTTATTCCTTGCTAACATAAATTATCTCTTCTTCTTTTGCAGAGAACAATGGAGGCATTTTTAATCATACTTACAGCTACACAGCTTATTTACATAGCAGCGATTCACGGAGCATTTTGATTGCTGGATGATGCGTCTTCATTTTATATCTTTTACCACTAAGAAATTTTCTCTTTTGTGTTCCTTTGAGTCTTGAGACGTACAAACAGGCCGGAAACGGCTGCCTCTGGTTGCGGCGTGGTGGGTATATGATATGATTGGATTCCTATATGAACCTGTAATAAACAGTATATTTTGAAATTTCTGGTGCAATGACCAGGTTTCATTGACCCAAATGCCTTTTTTAATGTTTCATTTGACCTAAAAAGGCCAGAAGATTTGCACCCTTCACCTATTACCAGAAGTTGCATCTAGAATATGGGCACGATTAAACACAAAACAATTTGGCAAAATTTTTGTTAACATGGGTATAGATTTGTCATGGCGTTTTGCAGTGAGCAAAGTATATATAAGACTAACAGAGGGACGACCTCAAGAAAAAACAAAACTACAAATTTGCTTAAACGAACAGAGATTATAAAATTCATGATAATGAAACCAACATAGCAATCATGCTGAAGTTACTCACATAAGCCTTGTATATTTGAAGGAAACTACTTCACTCAACCCAAAACAAGAAGTAGATACAACACACGCACACCTAGCTAAGAAACTACACTGCGAAAGTGCCAATAAAAGAATGTAATTAAAGCTAGGAATGACTAGCTACTATCAGCATCAGTACTGTCACTACCGCAGAACTTATAGCCGTTTTTCTAGCTAGGTCTGTTGCCCATTACTCTTCAGGAAAATCATTGAGCCTTGAAATGAAATAGACGTCTTGAAACCAAATCCTTTGTAACTTTGATGAGCTGCCATGTCTCGCAAATCCCCGTGACCGGATGGTTCTGCATTAAAAGGAAACCACAGAGCATATCAGACATGATCCAGTTTTATGGTTAATTATATAAGAGAAGAGGGGGGGGGATTGTCGAGTCGAGCTCGAGCTCGAGTAGCTCGACTTATCGATCGAGCCGAATTCGAGTATTCTTATATCTGACTCGAGTAGCTCGCGAGCCTAATCGAGCTTTTATATTTAAATATATTTTTATTTTTTTTAATTAAAAAAATATTTCGAATCCGAGTTCGAGTTCGAGTTCGAGCATGAATAATCGAACTCTTGTCGAGTATACAAATCGAGCTTATTTTTAACTATTAATCGAGCTTAATCGAGCGAGCTCGAGTAGCTCGAATTCGATCACGAATCGAGCTCGAGCTTGAAAAATAAAACTCGATCGAGCTCGAGCCGAGTATCGAGCCCCGAGTTGTGAGTCGAGCTCGAGCTCGAACTTCTCACTACTCGGCTCGGCTCGGCTCGTTTACAGCCCTAGGGGGGGCAACCATATATGGTTGTCAGTATAAAACGGCAACTGCAACATAACGATAAAGTTGATCAGGAATTTTTTCTTCATGCAAGACTTCTTGCTACACAACTGCCCACCATAAACATTAGTCAAAAACAAAATGCGGTGCTCCTAGTTGCAATTTTTCAGGCACCTAAAATGCCGCTGACTGATCACCCATTTAACATGGTGAACATAAATCTATAACAGCACATTAAAGTTGAGTCATTTTAACCATTTTTATTGCAAAATCAACTATCACAAGGACAAAATAAACCCATCCAGTAAAAATTTTAAACAAGAAAAACAAGAACAAGCTCTACCAGCCACTACTTCATTATTTTATTTTGCAGCTAGTCTGGAAATGCAATATTTGAGAAAGATGTCACAATTGCCCTTGGCATGTGACCCTTGATTAATAATGAAGATAATTAATTCAGACATAACCTAGAGCATTACATGCAAGCAAAATTTTACCAAGTTCTCTATCGGATATGTGAAGAAACTGAAAATATTAATTGCAAAATAATTTACCATAGAACACAATTAACCAGAGAGATAACTGAACAGGCTACCATAGGGTCATTCTCATCATTCATCAAGCATATTTTGATCAACGAGAAAAAAAAAAAAAAGAAAGAAAAAGACTACCAGATAACTGACAAACAATCAAATGACAAGCAACAAGTGCCAGATCTCAAGTTGCAGTTTCATAGTCCTAGTATTCTCGTACACCCACACAAGCACACAGTACATGAGCTACTGAGAATATCTTAATATGCAGTACTGCAAATTATAAAGGAAAGTATAATATATTTTTTTCAACTCAATGGATAGACCAAACCTGCAATTATCTCCCAGAACCAGTAAAAACATCAAACAATCCGCAGCAACTTAACAATGACGTTCTTTGCACCACTGGTGGACTCGGAGCAACTAGAGCCTGTGAACCAATTCAGCAAATAAACAAGAAATCACTTTTCAGTTAAATGAAATAAGGAATATTCAAACCCACAACTCTAGAAAAGAATAGGGGCAAGATATACCTGCTTTTTAGAATCATCATGGGGCCCAGAATCTTGGGTTTTCTCTACAACATAACTACTTTCAGCAGGAGTACCTGAAGATGGGAAATTTTTTCCTTCATTTCCTTCCAATTCACCCCTAGAAGTCCCATTTGATGAGGGCAATAACTTCTCTTGACTTTCTTTCAACCCTGATTCAACTACATCAGATACTGATTTGTTTGCAGAAATTTCTGTAGCACGACCCACTTCCTCTGTCACAGATAACACAGTTTTTACCAAATTGTCACCAGCGGCAGTTTCCACTGCAGAATTACCATCCAGATCCCTGAGTGTTTCAGTTTCAGCAACCTTCGGAACTTCTTCAGACATAACAGATTTATCCTCATTGCTATATGAGGTTACTTCAGAACCAAGATTATAGGCTTCTTCCTTTGACATCTTCTGAAAGGCTTGAGATTCATCATCTGCATTACTCCTGCTACTACTACTGCTGCTGCTGCTAGAACTCTTATCATGCTCACTGTGCTGAATAGGAATATGTGTGCTCTCAAGATCCTCCCCAGGTTCCCACTCTTTTTCAATTTTAACACCAACATCATCCAATCCTGATTTCTTGGTGCTTTCTCCATCTCTAGTGGCTTCTTCCACAGACTTGTCCTCGGTTACATGTGATTGAAGAGGTGATGGTGTTCTTTTCCCTTCTTCTTCCCCCTTACTGAATGGATGCTGGTGATTGTGATCATCCTGAGATGCAGGGGAACCAACATCACTACCATCACTTTCCCTTTCATCTTGGCTTTTCGGATCATCATTTCCTAGCACCATTTGATAAAATCACAATAACTCCAATCACTGATCAAACAACAAATTTACCAATCCACCAAAATATACACTACCAAAAACTGAGTAACAGAATTTTAAATTGATTAAGCAACATGATTTTCAATCAATTTTTATGAAAATTTAGCAACTAAAACCAAGATAAAAAATTAAAAAATACCAGACTATAACTTGAAATTGGATAGACAAGTTCAGACAATAACAAGAATTCTGGTCGAAATCAAGTAAAAGACCAGATACGCTCAAAATTGCCAAAAGACCCTAAAACAAATATTGGAAATCTCAAAAAAAAAAAAAAAAGAAGCGTAAAGCAAACAGTAAGTGATTAAAGGACGACAATCCCAATTAAAAGCAACCAAAATAATTAATCAAGGGCATGAACTAGAAACTCTATTAGCCATTAAACTCTCGAAGCAAGCGGATTTCTTTAACTAGATATCTCCAACACAGTAATTCAAGAACTGAATTGCACCGTCAAATGGATACCCAAGTAAGATTCAATCAAAAGAACTTATAAAAAAAAAAAGTACCCATCTTTCCAAATCTACCAAAAAATCAAAACCCAAAACAAATGTTTTAATAAAAAGCAAAGCAAAGAACCATGTGGGTTGTTGTTAGTTGATGAATTGATGTTGTTGGCTGCTTGTTCCTTCTTTTTCTTGGCAGCTTTTCTCTTCTTAGCACCTGATGGCATGATTGATTCCCTTCTCACTTCGTGGATACTACCAAATTTATATTCTCCCCCTCACAGATGGTGTGGGGTGTCCCCTAATATCCCCCTCTGGCCCTCTATCTATCCACTTGCCTATTTGGCTGCTCTCACTCACTGGGAAATCCTAGTCGTATAAACAGTACATTTAATAGCTGTACCGTCCAGAAATTATACCACATTCCGTACCAAAAGCGTCGTTCGTGATTTGAATTCAGGTTCTCCTTCAAAAACCGCTCCTTTGCTCATCCGTTTGGATTGTTAACGTTGGTTTTATTCTCTGCGCTTACCTAACATGGGCTTTTATTTTTATGGTTTATTCATTTAAACCACATATTTTTTTCCCCTTTTATAGTAACAATTTTCCAATTTGTTTATTTATCTGCAATTTGAGTAATATTTTCTGTACATTTATTTTTGGGATTTTTGGTGTGTGACTGGAGATTGTTTTTGAAATTTGAAGTTTTTATGGAAATAATTGAATTTATGTGGGTCATTTTGAGGTAGTGGGGCAACGTTGAAAATGGCTGAAAAGTTTAAATGATGACCTTTGGAATGAAGTAGTGAGGGTTTTCTAAGTGTCCAATTAAATTTTATTATATTTTTAATGTAATATAATTAAATTTTAATTTTAATAAAAATTATTTAATAAATTTTTTTATTATAATTATATTAAAATTTATTATTATTTTTAATTTCATCTCAACTAATTTTATCGTTCGTTTAAATAAAATTAAAGTAATGTTTTTGTCAAAGGAGTTGATTGTGGCTGACGTGATTAACATTTTGGTAAAGTGAATTGGAATTTTTACGGGTTATTAAGTGGGATTCAAAAAAAAGAGAGGTCACGTGGCATTTGGGATTAATTTATGTATGGCCTGCAGTCGGCAGAGGGTCAGAAAGTTTTGGTTGCATTCGGATCAGAGGAGATGAGGGATCTAAGTTTGAATTTCAAGATTTGTGCTAGTTGCTTGACTTGAAAAGGATTAAAAAAAACAAAACGTTCAACTTTTTTTTTTGACTAACGAGGGAAATTTTCGATCAAGAAGCACTTAGCATTTTTACATGCCGACGAGTATTGAAAGGGAAGATAATTATACATAAAAATGTTATTCCCTTCGTTTTAAAATAATTGTTTTTTATTAATTTTTTTTTCAAAATTATTTTATTTTAATTTTTAATTTTTTAAATATAATATTAAACTAAAATTTTTTAAAAATTTAAAGCTCAAAATTTAAAAATTTTCTTTTTAAATTTTTTTAATTTTATTAAAATTAATTATCAAAATTGAATTATTTTAACTAAAAAATCAATTAAAAATAATAATTTTAGGACAGAAAGAATACTTTCATTCATATAAGATAAAAATTAATTTTTATTTGAATAAAAAATTATATATATTAAACTTAAAAAAGTAAAATGAATATAATTTAAAAATATCAATCAAATATGAAAATAAAAACAAATAATATAATATTTATTTTGTACTCATATTTGATATATTTATAAATATTTAATAAATATTAAAAATTTAGCAATTATTTACAAATATGAATTTCACACAATTAATAGCTATATAAATTAAAATTCAAGTTTATTCTCATAAAATTTCAACCTTAATTTTTCAAAGGGAATTGTATTTTAATAAAGGTCATTAAAGAAAAAATTAAAAAATATATGCAACGTACGAATTTTTTATATAATATAGTCCGGTATGGTCAAATTGGGCCAAGCAAGTTGGGCCCAAGAAAGAGCAACGCCGACAGAGGGATACGGGCTCGGAACCCTCCAAAATGAAAGTCAAAAGAAGAACCCCATTTTGGATCAACCCATCCAACGGTCCAGATTCAGAGGAGAAGCTACACCACTACATCACAGGAAAAAAGTCTACCACAGTCAAGTAGAGCTCGAAGGAATTACAAGAGGTCGAGCTTTCAAAACATACAGCTGTTAGATCTGATAAGATAATCAATCAATCAATCAATAAAAAAAATCCAGATTTGAAGAAAACCCAATTTGCAAATCTGTTTCGTTGTGTTGAAAGGATCAGGAAAGATTAGAAGAAGCAGCAATGGATGCTTTGAGGAAGCAAGCCAGCAAGTTCAGAGAACAAGTTGCCAAGCAACAGCAGGCAATTTCTTGACTAACCTTTTCTTTTGTATTTTTGGCTTGAATGAGAATTGGGTTCTATTCTTTTGGTTGCTAGGAAAGTGTAGGAAAACTTGAAAAAAAATAAAACTGACTTTTTGTTTTTTTTTTCTCTTAAAATTTTAAGAACGAATAATTTGTGATATTGTAGACTTAATGTCCTTGATAACTTTGACTTCTATAAGTTTGAAGGTCTAATGTAAAAGTATCAAGAACTAAAGATTGAATTGTCGAGGTAATCTAAACTTTCAATGTAATTTATAATCATCACAGTGGTATAAATTTTGTTAGGTATGTGAGTTAGTTCCATCACAAATTCGAAGTTCAGCAGAGTGCAAAACAATCATTGAGTTTATCTTCTGCTAACTATCTTGAAAAATCTATACCTACATTTAGAAAAAGTATTTATTTGCATTCCTCCACTTCTCCAACATATGGAAAATAGTAGATAAAGAGTATCAAAAGTTTGTTTTGTTACAAAGCTTCATCCCTTACCTCCAAGTTACTAAGGAGGAGGCGTTTTTTTATTTTAAGGAAGTGAGATGAATGAAAGTTGAGCAATCAGTGAGATGTCAAGTGCTTTGAAACATCTGCTAAATGTTGATTGCCTGGCTTTATCATTGAATGTTTATTGCATTTGGTCTACATATGGACATAGATGTCATTCATTTGGTTACCTTGTTAGGAGCAAGCTTGTCCATCAAAACTTTCTCTTTCTACCTTCTTCTACTGGCCATGTTTTGATTGAATTAGTCCTGATAAGTTACTTTGCTAGTTACGATTTACTTTAAAATATTTATATCTTCTACTATTGAGTTATAAAACTTGTTTTTGCAGGCTGTAATAAAGCAATTTAGTGGAACTGGTTATGAAAGCTCAGATGTGGTAGTTATTGATGAGATTGAGATGCAAAGACATCAACAACTGGATAAACTGTACAGGTCCACTCGTTCAGGAAGGGTATTGGTCATTTTCCTTTTTATATTTTTGAACTTAAATTTGAAAACCATGTCACATTCCTTTATTATCTGTGATTTATCTTGTTGAAAAGGACTGAACACTCATATGATCCCCTGTTATTATCTTTAGGAATGAAGCCATTATCAGCATGCAATTTTACTTAAACTTTGCAAGGAATTTATATCATCTCCCTTTAATGCATCTTATGTAGTTGAGTTACATTTAACGTTACACCCCCTTGGTGTCATTTTCGTGAAAAAATCTACAAAGGTAAAATTTAGGGCAAAACAGGGAGCAAAATATTATGAGACTACTAATGGCTTGATTATATTATAATATTTTAGCAGCTTAGTTACATTATGCTATGTTGACAACTTTATCATAAAAAGTTTCTCTTTAATTTTCTTATATATTTACTTCAAATTTCATATATCAATGGACTCTTTGCTTAATGAATTTACCTTCTTCCTTTCAGGATTTTCAGAAAGATGTTGTTAAAGCTGCAGAAGCATTTACGGCCATCGGGTATAAGCACATTGAAACAGGTGTAGCATTAGTTCATACACTTTGAATTTATATTGTCCTACTATCAATATTTGTAATTAAAATAACTAACATATATGTTTAAGACAAAACTTTACACTTACGGTTCTTAATCTATGATTAGGAACCAGGTTCTCTGAAGAATGTTGCCGATATGGAACTGAAAACAGTGAAAACATCAATGAAAATGTTCTTGCTAAAGCTGCAGCTATTTATGGTGATGGTCGTAAACATGTAGAGAAGGAGCAGGAAGATTTAATTAAGCTGTTATCCCAACAGGTTGGCTTTTTGTTGGACTCCCTTTTAAATGTTTCATAACTACATGCTTGTATAATGTATTTGTCCTATTTCACAATTCAGTGAAACTTGTCCTATTGCATACTTTACAATTGATTGAAAATAACCAGTACCAAGCAGAAATATGACCTCCTATTTCTAAATGCATTAGGTTTTGGATCCCTTGAGAGCAATGATCGCTGGTACTCCTTTAGAAGATGCTCGTCATCTTGCTCAACGCTATAGTCGAATGAGACAGGAAGCAGAGGCACAGGTAATTAATTTGAAAGCTGAGCTTCATGTCTATATATTAAACATCAGTGTGAATTCTGTATTCTTAAGATTTGCATTAGACACTGATAATTCATACTAAATATGAAAAGCAAACAGGCAGCAGAGGTTTCCAGAAGACAAGCACGAATAAGAGAAGCGCCACTTCCTGAAAATGTGGCAAAGTTGCATGCCGCTGAAGCAAGGATGCAGGAACTTAAAGCAAATATGGCAGTTTTGGGTAAAGAAGCGGCTGCCGCATTGGCTGCTGTTGAAGCACAGCAGCAAAGACTGACTTTACAAAGGCTTGTAGCTATGGTATACGTGCACGTTACTTCAGTATATACTGTCTCCAAATTGAAGCATATCTTGATGCATGGATGCCATTCAAGATTTTGATCTATGCATTTGTAGGTTGAAGGGGAAAAGACTTATCATTTAAGTGTGGCTGCAATTCTTAGTGAGATTGAAGCTGAGGTTATTTCCAGTCTTCATTGTTTCTGGTAAAGAAACCTTTTATATTTGAATTATGTGAACTTATACCTTTATGTGGAACTTGTCAGATGGTTTCTGAGAAACAGCGCAAAGAATCTGCTCCCCCTGTGATTGCACCGGACAATGGCTCAGGGAAAACAATGTATTACTTGACTGAAGTAAGCTTATCTAATCTTGGAAATTTGAAGAATCTGCCAGCAAGAAGACTTGTCTTACATAAAAGCATAACATTAGAGACAAAAAAAAAAAAAGGAAACTTGCTTGATGGTTGAAGACATCAACTTATGTTGTTAGATTTGCGTAATGCAGTTCTCATTGGACATCAAAATTAGAATGAATCAAGGAGTTTCTCTAACTTTTGAGCTTCTCTTCCTTGAAGGGGATTCCTCTTGCAAATATTGGACCCCCTTTAGGAATGTGAAGAGCTAATATTTTGAGCTTCTTGTCACAGGCAATGCATCCTTTTTCTGCTGCATCCGAGAAGGAACTGAGCTTGGCAGTAGGTGACTTTGTTGTTGTGCGAAAGGTATTCTATTTCCTTCATTAGACTTATATCTAAGTTGCATATAGGTTGCATTTAGCTCAATAGACCGGTGCTATCTAGGTTGTTAGTTGCACAGATCACTCTAAGCTAAAGTAAAGGGCTGAAAAATGAAGAACAATGCTGGATAACTTTTCACTTAGGAGTTGGTGCATGGCTTGCAACTCCACTATATGAAGTTTTGCACAACAGGTACCTTATCGGATACTGTAGGTCCTGTCCTTTTCAACCTTAAATTTAATTGGCTCTAGCTGAAGCTTTTGATTAGCGCCTACCTAAGTAATATTACTAATAATAAAACTATGAAACAGGTACCTTATTGAATTTCTCATTTACTTGTTCAGATTTTTAAAGCACTGTTTGTTTTTGCAGGTCAGCCCATCTGGATGGTCAGAAGGAGAATGCAAGGGTAAAGCAGGGTGGTTTCCATCCGCTTATGTTGAGAAGCGCCAGAGACTTCCATCCAATCCGGCTGGTGAAGTCTATTGAGTTATAATCTGTATAATTCTTTTCATGACAGGAAAAAAGGCATATTATGCTGGCTTATTATCTGATGTGTTCTGTTGCAATGTTCATTCTCTTGCCTTATGTGTATCTTGAGATACTAAAAAGTTAGAATTTGTTGGTGTTTATATTCTTTGATCACTTTAAACACATCAGTCATTTATGCATAAATTAAGATTTTGTTGACTTTGACAAAATGCATGGTTCTTTCACTGTAACCCAGAGAAGATCAGATGAAGGGAACTGGTTTTATATTTTCTTGCTGTAGGTATGTCTGAACATTAAGAGTTATTCATTAATGTCTAATGAAAACGGGGAAATGAAAAGGAGTACAAAAACCAATCTCAAGTCGCCATTTCGTGGCCTAGCATAGATAACTTTTAGCGGCAAGAGTATGATTTCATTGACGGGTATTATTTACTTTTGAGAGATTGGAGTGTTTTTCGAAAATCATCTTCGGCTGCACAGTGCGAGTGGTAGTTGAAAAGAAAGGCGTGAAGTAATGGTATAAGTTCTTCCAATGGTTGTTTTTCACCTCATGCTGAAGAGCTCAAGTGAAGTGCTATCAAGGAGGCATAAGCCCCGTTAGTGATATTCATCAATGCCTCGTGTCTTCCCTTCTCAGCGATGACTCCATTTTTCACTACTGCAATAACATCAGCACCCTTTATGGTGGTAAGGCGGTGAGCAACAACAACGGTTGTTCTATTGACCATAACTCTGTCCAATGCCTCCTGCACCACCCGCTCTGATTCAGCGTCTAAAGCACTGGTTGCCTCGTCAAGCAGAAGGATTTTGGGGTCCTTCAATACGGCTCTTGCTATGGCTATTCGCTGCTTTTGCCCACCAGACAACTGCACTCCTCTTTCTCCTACGGAGGTGTCATAACCCTGTGGTAATGAGCTAATAAAATTGTGTGCATTTGCTGCTTTTGTTGCTGCCATGATCTCTTCTTCAGTGGCGTTTCCCTGCTTGCCATAGGTTATGTTGGCACGGATGGTCTCATTGAAGAGTATTGGCTCCTGACTAACCAATCCCATTTGTTGCCTCAGCCAGCTTAGTCTTATCTTTCGGATATTCATCCCATCCAACGTTACACGACCGGAGTCGGGATCATAAAATCTTTCTATAAGGCTGATGACAGTTGATTTCCCACTCCCACTTTCTCCAACAAGTGTAACAGTCTGCAAAGATAGCAATATAATATACAAACTAAGCAAAAGAGTTCTCCATTATAAATTTGTAAACCTCTAGTAGTAGATGGATTTAGCTTTTAAATGGAATTGATTTCTGAAATTTTGTAAGTTGGAGTGTTAGTAAACATACCTTTCCAGAGGGCATGCTCAAACATAAATCCCTGAATATTTGAATTTCTGGTCGCGTTGGATACTTGAAGCTGACATGTTCGAACTCAATATTACCTGTTATAGTGGGTAGTGTAGTGCCAGCACTGCTGCTTGAGTCAATTGCTGGTTTTCTATCAAGAATTTCAAATATTGAAGCTGTTGAATCCTTAGCTTTGTTGGTGTCAGGAGCCAAGGCACTGGTTTGTGAAACACCAATGGCTGAGATTGTCAATGCAAAGAAAACCTGCAAACACCCATAATTTAAGATTAACAACTTCAAGATAGTTGTTAAAATATGGAAAATAGTTGTTTTAAGTTTACCTTGAATACTTCCTCGAATGTTGCTTTCCCATGCTGCACAAGTACAGCTCCAATGTAGAAACAGAAGGCATTTGTGCAATATAGAGCAAAAAAAGAGAACCCAAACCCAGAACCGCTTACAAGTCCGAGACGGACTCCCTGTTTCATGGGGGCTTCACATTTCTCTTGGTACAAATCCATCACCTTCTTTTCTGAACAAAAAGAGGCAACAGTTCTGATACTTCCAACAGCATCATTAGCTACTTGGCTTGCTTCTTCATACATCAACTGCATATACATATATATATATATATTTATATTTATATTTATAAACATTGTTTAGCATAATCCAACCAATCTCTTCATCTAAATAAATCGTCGCAGGTATCACTGACCTTTGCATCAGCACTGAACCCTTTCAGAAATTTCGTCTGCAGGTATCCTTGAATTAATATAAATGGGGATACGGCTAGTATTGCCAGAGCCAATATCCAGTTAGCTGTGAATGCTATGATTCATCCCGCTGTAATAGTAGATATGTTTTGTACAATCAGGGCCAAGGCATCGCCAACAAGATTTCTTACAGTAGATGCATCAGCAGACAACCTTGCTCCAATGGCGCCACTAAGAAGTTGAAAAGAGATACTGTTGTTATAACTGCAAGAATTTCTAGCGTAAGAAAATTAGAAGTTTGCTTAAAATACCTTGAATTCGCAGGATCATCAAACCAACTGATGTTTTGGTGGACTACCTTCTCGAATGTCAACGAACGAATTCTTTGAATCAATTTCCCACCTGCAACTCCAAAGAAATAATTCTGCAGCGGTCCAACTAATAGAGTGACTAAACCCATTCCAACATAACAAAGTGCCCACACCCTGGCATCTTTTAACAGCTGACTTGGTGGCTCAAAGAATGATTTAATGGCTGATGAGAAAAAGAGACCAAACATTGGGAAAATTACTCCATGTACGGCTGCGGCAATGGATCCAACCAATAGAACTGGCACCTCCGGCTTGTTAAGAGAGGCCAGCCGTTTAATAGAAACACTTTTACGTCTTTCCATGTCAATTTGATCTCTTACACTGCTCTCTAAGCCTGCTTCGTCAGTCTCATAGAAATTAATAGGACCAGGAAGACCGAAATTATATGTGAAGGATTGTCGGCTACTTGATGAATTTCTGCTTATAGACCTTCTCAAAGACAAGCTCAACCTCTGGCTTCCAGACCTGGTAATAGCCTTATCCATATCAGAAGTTGCATCTGACTTTTCTGCTTCCTTGGCTCGAGCACCTTCACCTTCTTTAGCTCCGTCTTGCAGCCGAACCAACTGGGAATAAGCCCCTTCTGGATCTCTGATCAACTCCTCATGCGTTCCTAGAATTAAACTCTTAAATACTAACAACTGATGAAATAATTTAGAAATTTAGGTTAAAAATGCTGGTTTACTGATGTTACCTTTCTCCACAAGTTTCCCTTGGTGCACCACTGCTATCATGTCAGCATTCCTGATAGTTGTCAACCGATGTGCCACCACCACAGTTGTCCTATTGAACATCACTTTTACAAGTGCATCTTGAACAACTCGTTCAGACTCAGCATCCAGGGCACTTGTGGCCTCATCAAGGAGGAGGATTTTTGGGTTTTTCAAGATGGCTCTTGCTATTGCAATTCTTTGCTTTTGTCCGCCCGAAAGTTGAGTTCCATGCTCGCCCACCATGGTGTCTAGCCCCTGCAGCCAGATACCAATTCTTCAATTAATTACTTGAAAATTTTGGATTAAAAAAAATGCTTTATATGATTGGGCCTCTAGCATGGTTTAAATGAGTATTAACTGTTAATTCGGTGATGCTTCTAGCTGAGACATGCCGAAGAGTAGACAGGGTAAACCAGCTTTTTACATGATAGAGAATATTAAAACCAGTGCTTTTTTACCTGGGGCAAGTTGTCAATAAATTTGGCAGCATTAGCAAGCTCAATCGCTGTTCTAATCTCTACATGAGTCGGATTTTCCTTTCCATATGCTATGTTTTCCCTAAACGTAGTTGCAAACAGAATAGGTTCCTGACTGACTAGCCCAATTTTCCCCCTTATCCATCTAAGCTGCAACCTTTTCAAACCAACGCCATCTATAAGAACTTCGCCAGAATCAGGATCATAGAATCTCTCTAAAAGGCTAATTACTGTTGATTTCCCGCTCCCACTTTGCCCAACTAAGGCAGCAGTTGTGCCACTGAGGACATGCAATGAAAACCCAGAAAATATCTGCACATCTGGTCTGGCAGGATACCTGAAATACACATCCTTGAGTTTAATTTCACCCTGGATATCTTCCAATGTTATTCCACTGGTGTCATAAGCATCAATTTTTGGTTTCCGTTTGATTGTCTCGAACATCTTATGTGCTGCAGCTTGCCCTGATGCAAACGCATTTAAACTCGGAGTTGTCTGACCCAATGACGTAATCCCGAGATAATAAAATACGTAAGAGGGAAAAGCTTGGCAACAAAATGTTTCACAGGTATGAGAGAATAGTATTTCACAGTTAATAGCAGCCAACAAAATCTGAAGTAATACTATACTTACATTCCTCCCGTCATGATTGCTATTATAACATTGATGACTTGTCCGCCGTTGTATCCTTTGTGAGCTATCAGTTTAGATCCATACCATACAGCGAGTCCATAACTGGAAAAGACAACAACCAACATTGCACCAAGTCCTACGCCTGATACCAGCCCTTGGTGAATGGTGGCAGTATAGGCAATCCGTAGCTTGCTGTTATATTTTTCTATAGCCTGTTTCTCCCCGGTAAAAGATGCAACCTGAAAGAATTACAAACAAAATCTATCAAGTTACTTGATATTTTACAAATCAATATCCAAACTTTGGTGAACATTAAAGCTTACAGTTCTAATGGCTCCAACTGTTTGTTCTACTACATTTCCAGCTTCTGCATAAGCAAGTTGTCCTCTACTTGACATTTTTGCCATTATCATTGCCATGGTTCCACCAGCAATGACAACAAGAGGGATGCAGGCTGATAGAACTAGCGCAAGTAGCCATCCTCTCGCAAAGGCAATTATAAACCCACCAACAAAACCTGATACAAGTTGTATAAACTTCCCAACCTGTCACAAACCATATATTAAAATCCCTATACGTTCTCAGGATTCAGAATATATAGTTATTTGTTAGACATTGACATGGTTAGAATAATTGATAATAGCAATTGTTTTTTATATTACAACGTTGAAGAAGTGAAATATAGTATTAACCTTCTCGCCCATTGCTTCCTGAATAAGGATAGTGTCCCCTGACATCCTTCCAATGACTTCTCCGGTCGTTGTTTCAGTGTCAAAGAATCCAATGTCTTGTCTCAGTATCGTCTTCAAGTACAAACCACGAATTCGTTTGGCCTGTCTTTCCCCAGTCACCATCCAACATGCTACCTCTGTAACACCCATCAAGTAATTCAATCAAACACGCAAATTAAGGCTAATTAATTGAAAATAATTG